TCCCCGCTCGCTCTGTGGACTGCGGTTGGCACACCAGGGCCCATCAGGCCGGTTGCCACCCAGTGCTTTGGCCTGAGCTCTCCAGGTCAGGTGGGAACGGCCAAAAAGGAGTGTCCTTTTCATTTTTCTCACTGGAGACCCTCCTCTGGCTGTGCCTTCTCCTTCCATTTGTCCCAAGAACGGAAGCCTGAACCAAGGCCATGAGCCTTGTCCCCTCCCCACTACTCGTCCCTACACCTCCTGCGTTGAAGATGTGTCTCAAGAACCACATTCTGGGAGTGACAGGCCCAACCAGTGCCACTAGCTGGTCACTCTGCCCTCCTCTGCTGCCCAGGGCCGGTGCGCTTGCCATTCCCTCATGTTCAGGACAGCTTCTGATTTGGGTGGGAAACAGGGTGCTGAAGCCAACTAGCCTTTGTGTCCTGGACAGGTGAGAGTTGTCATCTGTCCTGTCCACATCCCCCAGCCCTGTTCTTGCTGTCTTTGACATGCACTGCCAAGTCCCAACAAGGAAGCTCGAGTCTTAAGAGTAGCAGGTCACTGTCACTGCCGACCCCCGAGCAGAGGCAGGGCAGGGGTGGCAGCGGTTAGTTGAGTGGATGGCCTGTGCCAGGCTAGCCCTGGACTGCACCTAGGTAGGACGCGGTGGCCCAGAGTGAACTTCCCTTTCACACATCCAGGTGTCCTGAAAAGATCTTTATTTCTGACCCATCTCCTTCCCTCCCTGGCCCTTCCCTTTGTGACAAGACAGTCTTCAGTTTTCTGGAGTTCTTGAAGCATTTCAAAGCTCTACCCTCTGCACAGCCATTTGGATACAGAAGGACACTGCCACGGGGCGCCAGCACACAGGAAAAGGACTGTTGGCACCAAAGGCCTGACCACTGTTGGCTGCACTCTTGAATCGGGCTAATGTCTTTTATTTAATGCGCAACACTTGGCCTCATGTTTCTGTAGGGTCATCAGGGAGTGTTATGAAAACCACAAATGAAGCCCCAGGAAGTATTTAAAGAGCAGGCCTTGGTGTCTCTTCCCCCAGGTTGCCCAGGAGCAGAGCTGAGGGACAGAGACTGTGACTCTCGGGGCAGGGGCCCCAGTCTACCGGACCTTGACCTAGAGCAGCTAACTCTAGGAGGAGCAGGCAGGCACCCGCCCGGCCTCAGCTGGGCCCAGGGGAGACTACCTGCCCACTCCTGTGCCGCCTCAGGCCGTGACCTCACAGCCCCTATTTTTACACTCGTCACCTAAACTTATATTTTATTTTTCTGGTAGAAATGGTTTCCTCTGGATCGTTTTACGCGGTTCTCACAGTGCATCACCTCTTTGCCCCCAGATGGCTGTGTCGTGCAGCCTGCGGGAGGCGCTAGACACCGACAGCGGCCTTGCAGACCCACCGGGTAGCCCCGACTGCCTGTTTCCACGAGGTACTGGTCTCTTCTTTTTGTTAACATGATGTGCCACTATATTTTACATTTATACCTTGGTATTACACTCTTTTATAGACTCGCTCTTTTATAAATGACATGTAAATAGTTTTCCACTCTCTTCTGGAATGCCTATGGGGTCCCTCCTTTTTTTTCTGGGTCCAGTACATTTTGTTTCTGTATATGACTCTGTTTTTTGAATCCAAATCTCTGTAGTATTTTTTAAATAAATCAGTGTTTACAACTTTAGAATCCTTGGCAGATGGCTTTGGTCTGCAACCCTTCCCTGTTGTGAGCCGCTGTATGTGTGGACAGGGATGCGGTGGGCTCTGATTCCCTGAATGGACACCCCCCCCCCAGCCGGGCCCTACAGAACAGTGGCAGGGCTGCCACCCCGGGGCCAGGGCTCCTGCGGCTGATGTGCTCACGCGCCGTTTTGCAGGGCTTTCCCTGCTCTGCTCGGGCCCTTCCTGTGCCCTTGGCACTTGTTTGGCAGCAGCCCAGCTCTTGCCGCATCACTGAGAGTGGGCTGTGCCACCACACAGGCCACGTCTCACTGGCGGCGTCAGGCCGTCACAGCATCCCTGGAGAGTGGTGAGGAGGTGACGTCCTGAGTTCCTTGCTGGCTGCATCCCTGTCCCCTGGCAGTGCGCCTTTTCTCTCTTTACCTTTGAACCACTGCCCTCAGCCCCAAGGCACTCCTCACTTCCTTGTGTTCCACATCCTGGTGTCTTACTCCTTCTCGTGGACGAGGAGGGGAGGTATGCTGGCCTTCGAGGTCGTGCAGCGGCCCCCCCAGGGGACGGTCAGGTGGGGAGTGCTGACTGTCTCTGCCGCGCTGACGGCTTGGAAGGGGAAGTGGGGAAGTGAGCAGCGCCCTCTGCTAATGATACTTATTAAGCCAGCAGGCTTGTCAGGGGCTGCGTGTCCTGCTCAGCAGAGCGTGCTGAAGCGCACGGCTCCGTGGAGCTCTTCTAGGGAGACCTCAGCAGCGAGACGTGCTGAGCGGCAGGCGGCAGGGTCCAAGGCTGGTGACACCCACTGTAGCGTGCTCGCAGCAAGTGGCTGCAGCAGTGCAGGGCACCAGCTTCTCCTCCTCCCATTTCACAGAGACAGAAACTGAGGCTGGGTCCACAGAAGTGCTTACCAGTTGGACCATAACTGGACACCAGATGTCCTGAGTCTGGGGCTTTTCTGTGGCCAACAGCGTCATCCTTGGGTAACTGTTCCCAAGTCTGAAAGAAGATGTAGAACGATTCTGGTGACAGCCACAACTGGCACTGCACCCATGTGTCAGGTACGGGCCATTCATGGGTTCCTGCGAGCCCTGCAGCAGCCTCTCGGGCAGGCATGTCATCATCCCGTGTCCCGGTGCTGAGCAGCGAGGTCACGTGACCAGTCACCCAGCAGACGTGGCCGTGTGGAGTACGACACTGCTTGTCTCCTAAAGAAGGGTCTTTTGTGTATGTCACTCAAGCTTATAAAACTTAATTTGGTTTAGCCATTCGAAGACAGTGGTTTCTTAATCTTTTTTTAGGTCACAGAAACTCTTGAAATTCTAATGGAAACCATGGATCCCAGGCCCAGAAAATGCACATGTTTGCACACACAGAACCATTTTCAAATAATCTTGAGTCCTGCCCTTGTCCTGAACCAAGGAGTACCCAGGGGCCGAGCCCAACAAAGGGACAGGCAGCTACCATTGTTACCATCACAAAACACAAGCCTAATGTATCGTAAATTTCCTTTCAAATCAAACAAAAAAACTGAAAACAATCCAGATGTCCGTCAACAGAAAAAAAGGATCACACAACAGCACAATGAGAATTGCCAAACAGCACGGTGTGCGTGGACCAAAGAGGCCAGACAGCAGCAGGGCCCGAGCTGCTGCCAGGGCGTGGGCGTTGGCCGTCGGGCCGTCCGGCCGAGGGAGATGTTGGCGGGGGAGGCGGGGCCGGGGGCTGGTCCATGTCTTGGTCCGGGTGATGCGGACTGGTGGGTGTGTCTCTCCATGAAGCTGCTTCAAACTATGCTCAGAACCGATGCGCGTTCTGGCGCATGTTGTATTAATACTTCAGTGAAAGTTTCCCTAAAATTACAGCGTCTCGGCTGTTCTGCAGATGCTCTCCGAGGCACCACCTGAAACCCTCATACTTTTATTTTTTTTTTTATGAGGGAGTTTCTGTCACTGTCTTCCTTTGTCAGGTAAAGAAGTGGAGGCTCAGCTTGGCCAAGGTCACGCAGTACGTGCCAGCTGATGCCTTTGTATAGGTGGCCGCAGCGCAACCAGCAGAGAGCTGTGCCCCAGGGCCGGGCTGCTCCTGCACACTGGCCCAGCTTCTCAGGTGTCAGAGGTAAATCTATGGGCAGCATTCCTCCATTGAGCGCTCTGGGGAACCGATTCCTAAATGTCTCGTACAGAAGACATGGGGCAGGATCAGACTGTCCACAGTGTCCCCCTGTCAGCACTGGTGGTCACTTGACATCTTGGGCAGGTCCCCCAGCTCCAGCTGAAGTCACTCCTGCAATCGGGGAAGGCTCCGAGGCATGGTCCGGCAGGCATCCCCGAGGGCCGGGGGCACTGTGGATTGCAGCAGCTCCTTACCCAGGGGGGTAAAAAGTACCGTGCTGAGTTTGGGGTCTTTAATGAAATCTGTCATGCAGCATGTTTGGCACTGGAGCAAAGCTAGGACGAGGTGATGTCCCTCTTGTGCACTACAGCAGCTGCTTTATAGCTGGCTGCTCCCAGGATCCTGTACTGGTGTTTTCCTTGAAGATTTGTATTAATATTTCCAACATACGGGAAATTACAAATATTTCCCATCCATTTTGATGCCAAATACCTTTTTTTTTTTTGAGACAGAGTCTCACTTTGTTGCCCAGGCTAGAGTGAGTGCCGTGGCGTCAGCCTAGCTCACAGCAACCTCAAACTCCTGGACTCAAGCAATCCTCCTGCCTCAGCCTCCTGAGTAGCTGTGACTACAGACATGCGCCACCATGCCCAGCTCATTTTTTCTCTCTATATATTAGTTGGCCAATTAATTTCTTTCTATTTATAGTAGAGACGGGGTCTCACTCTTGCTCAGGCTGGTTTCAAACTCCTGACCTCGAGCTATCCGCCCGCCTCGGCCTCCCAGAGTGCTAGGATTACAGGCGTGAGCCACCGCACCCGGCCCCAAATACCTTTACATCTACACACCAAGATGAAAACTTTTATCTTCAATAAATACAACAAATAGATGCAAACGGCTTGGGTGCTCTGGGCCAGGGGAGGCCGAGCTGCCGGGCCAGGTGGAGCCACTGCCAGCACTCAGGGAGCTCGGTCTCTGTGCTTCCATGACGGATGTTTCTGGAGTCTCACCTGGAGAGGAGTACTCTTGCCAATTGAGAAGAGAGCCGGGCCAAGGGGATGCTGGGTGGCATGAGAGGACCCAAAGACCTTGGCTGCAGCTGTGGGGTGGCAGCAGGGCAGGGGTGACAGAGGAAGTTGGCTGGGTCCAGTGGGAGTCGAGTGGACAGGTCAGTGCCCTTAGCTGCTGGGTGGTTGTGGTTTTCAGGGTTATTGAGTGCGAATGTACAAGCAAACTGGAAAGAGTAGCTTGTTGATTTTTTTTCAATGGTAAAAGCATGATGACAGTACACCCACTCATGTGGAGTCCTCACCCGTTTCCATTATCCCATGTTTCTCCATCAAGGTTAATCCAATCCTGCTGAATCAAAAACCGGCTGGTGCGTACCTGAGGCGTGTGTAAAGACACTCAGGATAGCTCAGCCCTGCTGTCCTCCAGGATCTCAAGCTGTCTCTGTGGGGTCCTTTATCAGAGCAGGTAGAAATTGGGACCTTGCTCCAGGGGGTTGCTCTGCCCTTGGCCCTCGGTCTGTTGTGTGTCACCTGGTCTTGGCTGGGCATGTTTTCTGGCTGCTTTATGTTCGTGGCTGAGCTGGGGGAGGGAGGGACCCAGGTTACCACCTCCCACCTTTAACAGCCACGCGGAACGGGCACCCCCGCCCCCAAGAGGATCTGTGTGTCCATCCTGTGACTGCCAGCGCCGTCCTTACAGCAAGGACCCTGGGGATGTGTCCCTTCCTGTCAGTGTCACGTTAGCTGCTGGTGACAACATCCTGTGCAGGAGGCACCGTGACTCCCCTCTTCACTGGACAGCGGTGGAGCCAGGAAGAGTGGCGTGGCCCACGCTCAGGTGCTGTCATCTTCTCCCTGCCACAGCAGCCAAGATGCAGGGCACCTGCGAGAGCCCGGAGAAGGCAGCGTGGGAACCCCGGGTGCCGCTCCGACACCCAGGCTCCTTTCCCGTCACGCCACCGTCTCTGCTCCCCAGTCAGGCTGGTTCTTTTGTGGCTTAGTTCTGTCACCCCCTAATGAAGTGGCTTTCTGGCTACGGAGGATTGAGAGCTGCTTCTGGGGAATGTGAGTCGCTAATAGAAGGGAAACACTGTGAAATGCTCCAAGGTGCCAAGCTGGGCCCAGCCCAGTGTGGTTCTAAAAGGCTAATAAAAATCCACCAATTAATTGTGACAGCTCAATGGAAAATTATTCAATTGTGAACAGGGGCAAGCTGCAGCTCGGAAGGAGGAGGGGAGCGGTCGCCATAGCAACGTCAACGTGCGCTCCCATCGCAGCGGTGGGAGCAGCCTGGCAGTGAGCAGCGCCCGCCGCCGCGCCCGACACGGGGTGATGCGGAGACACCGAGGCGGCCTTTGAAATGACGCTCTGCCTGGACCCGGGGCCGCGGCCGCTCCGGCTTAGCATGGGCTCTTCCTGGGGCGGAGAGGTTGTTTCCTGAATGCCCCTTGTTCTGAGAAAACCAGGGAAGGAGCAGTGGAGTGGAGGAAAGCACCCCGTGCTGCGTCTCCCTGTACCCTGACACTGTCAGTCGAGGGGCTCTCGGAGAGAGGTGTGTGTGGACGTGCGGTAGGACTTGTGCCTCCCCAAAGGGAAGGCGCTCAGAGCTCCGGAAACCCAGTTCCAGGGCACAGAGAACCTGTAGGGACGAGGCCAGCATTCCATTATGGTTTTGCAGTTGTTACAAGTTTTATTTCAAAAGAGGCATAGCACATCGATATTTGAACATTTGAATTGCAACCTTGCTACAGCAACAGTGTATTCCTTCCTGGTTCATCTGTCTGGAGACTCCTGGGGTGACAGACACTGCACCACAGAGAAAGACAGCTGTCGGAAGGGGCTCTCCGGGCCACAGCAGAGGGCTCTTGCCAGAGGGGTCGTGTGTTAATAGGATGGAGAACGAGCTATTTTTTTCTTTTTAACTTTCGGAACCATACTCTGCACTCAGGGAATATTCACAGATGTACTTTGGATGTCAGCTACTGACGTCCCTGTGGAGGCTGCCAAGCTTTGATGACCACTGTAGTGAGTCTGCTGCCTTGCTCTCTGCCTGTTCATATTCACGGCCCAACTGCAGCCTGGTGTCCACGCCACTGGGGTCACGGGGCTGCTCAGAACCTGACGTCCAGGGGAGGGGGCAGGCTGAGACGACGGGTCTGGGTGAGCTGGAACAACTACAGCGTTGCCTTCATAAGCACGACGCAGCTTGCCTTTGGCCACCTCCTTTTTGACACCACGTAGTTTTTTGCTTTGGCAAAGTTGGAAATCAAAAGTAAGCAAACACCTAACCAGTGCTCCCGCTGGTTGTGCATTATGATGCCTGCATCTTCTCGGTGTCTTGGTCTTTGAGGCTGGAGGCGAAGATGGGAATGAAGACAGACAGAGGGAGAGTCCACAAAGAAACACTTCCAAGACGCCCTGGCCCTACCGCCGGCCGAAGCGGAAGCCGCTTTCTTCCTGCTGTAGCCATTGAGCTCCTCAGCCAGGTTCCCTAACAGGACGCTGGCCCAGAAGCTGGTGGCCTCTCTGCCTTCGTCCTGCCTCCCAAAGCGGAACCTGAAGCCAGCATGCTCTCTGCCCGAAGCCGCAGCCCCTTGGGCTCGACAAGCAGGGCCTGTGGCCGTGGAGCTCTCGACCACCGAGAGGAGCCCCACATGAAGCGGGTCGGGGCCCCTCGGCCAGGCTGGCCCAGCTCGCTCTGGCTCCGATCATACCCAGGGCGTCTGAGGGTCCTCCTGTGTCCCGCGGAGGAAAGCAGGGGCCCAGCGGCAGGAGAAGGAGGTAGGCCAGGGAGTGAGGGCTCAGCATCTGACCCAAGGAAAGAGGAAGAAGTTAAAGTCTGCACACGGCACGCAGGACAGCTCGTCAGCAGGACTCCCCAGGCCTGCGCGGCAGTCGTGAGCCCGGCTTCCACACGGTGGCAGGGACCAGGCCTGTATTTTATTAGCAGACTCAGGAGCTGATTGAACCAATTAGGCTGGTTCTCACTGTCCTGCAGTTCCCTGGATCTGATGCCAAGGCAGCTGAGCACTGCGATGCCACCACTGCTGGATGGCAGGGCCGTGCCCAGGTGGCCCCGGGAGAGCCAAGCGATTTGGGGTTCAGTGTTCATTTATAATTATTGCTCCTTGGGCCGTATCATCTCAGCCATAGGGTAGAAAAGTAAAAGCATCAATCTCCCTTGGTTTTCAACTTGATAATAAATGGTTTAGCTAAGCTGTTTAGCTGGGACACCCTGCTACTGTCTCTAACATGGAAGTTAATTGCTCCTGAAGGCAGGAAACGGATTTGGTGGTCCTGGCCCCACTTGGACCCCAACCTGGGGAGGAGCGTGGAAATGTCGGGGAGCCTGGGGAGTGCTGGCGATGTGCCAGGCTCTGAGTTAAGAGCTTTACGCACACACGGTTGTATTTCATCTTCACAGTAAACCTGCTTCGTAGGTACTGTTAGTCCCACTTTTTCAGGCAAAAAAACTGTTGGAAAAGCTGAGATTGTGCCCAGGCCACACAGCTAGAAAGCGGATGGGTTCACCATTCCGATAGCCAGATGGCTTCCTGATGCGCCAAGCCCCGGGGACATGCCTTTCACGCGTATGAGGCGGGCCTCTCAGCCCCCCACGGGAGGGCGTTCAGCCCCATTTCCAAGAGGCAGCATCACAACAGGTGGGGCGACTTGCCCAAGATCGCATGGCTTACGGTGACAGAGCTGGGGGTCAAGCCCAGGTGGAACGCAAGCCCTGACCTGCCGCCCTATACCACACGCGACAGTCAGGGAGGTCTGAAACAACTTCCCGGAATGCCCTGCCCTAGCAGCCGTTGCTCCCTTCCCTCGCAAAGGAAGCCTTTTTGGTAATGACCAGTGATGAGTTGGAGCTGGCTCGTTCTGAACTGAGGATAGATTGGGGAGCGCCAGCTCTGCACAAGACAGTACAGAAGTCCCCAGAGCCCTTTCCAGAAAAGGCTCCTTCGAAAACATTTCAAAGAAGTGAGCTTAGCCAGAAAGCTTTAAAAAAAAAATAATGAGGCTGTGCGCCGTGGCTCACGCATGTAATCCCAGCACTCTGGGAGGCTGAGGCAGGAGGATTGCTTGAGCCCAGGAATTTGGGACCAGCCTGAGCAAGAGTGAGACTCCATCTGTACAAGAAATGTAAAAATTAGCCAAGCGTGGTGGCACGTGCCTGTAGTCCCAGCTGCTTGGGAGTCTGAGGCAGGAGGGTCCCTTGAGCCCAGGAATTTGAGTTTGCAGTGAGCTATGATGATGCCACTGCACTCTAGCCCAGGCAACAGCAAGACTCTGTCTCAAAAAAAAAAAAAAAAAAAAAGAAAAGGAAAATACCCCCATTCTACCCAAATCCAATTCTCCTAAGCTTCTCTAGGTCCTCAGGGGCTGGAGTGCCTCCCACCTGCTGCCAGGGAAGCCTGTCCATCAGGACCTGGGCCGAGTGGGGGCTTCCATGAGGCAGTTTTCTGCAGGGGTGAGCCCCTCCACTTATCCCCAGAGTGAGTGTGGACGGGGACCTTCCCATTTGGGGGCTAAGTCCGCCTGGGGGCGCCTCTGGGTCTCTAGAAAGGTGACATCTTGGTGCAGAGCAGGTAGTGGCCCTTCTCTTTTGGGGGGCCGTGGACCCCTTCAAGAATCTGGTAGAAACTGGGAGCATTTGCCACTGAAAATGGGGCTGCAGCACCAGTCAGGGCTTCAGGCCCCAATGTCCAGGAAACAGCAGGACACGCCAGGGCAGAAGGTAGTGGCCCTGGCAGGGCACCCGTGGCCGATCTCTGCTGCTAGGGCTGTCGGCAAGACAAAGTGTTTGTCTCCACCTCTCTGGGCCCTCCCTGCCCATAGTTCCAGGTACCCTCTGCCTGCCTGTGCCCAGCTTGACCAGACAAGGGCCTGAGCTGGGGCTCCTACCGGGGACAGGGCGGCTGTGCTCACCGTGTGGCTGGGGCTGCTCCCAGGAGGGCTGCTGGGTCCCTGGGCTCCGGGGCTGGGCGAGCCTCTGTGGGCCCTCGTCCAGGAGGTGTGGCCGGTGGGTTCTCCCTGCTTCATATAGCCCCGCCCATGTCCTTGCCCCCTCGCGCCTGATGGCCACACACCCGACCCTGGGATTCCATTGGGGAGGCTGGTGGTGAAGAAGGGGTGGCGCTTACTGCAGTGATGAAGGAGCCAACACGAGCCGGATGTGGCCTGGTAAGAGGACAGCCAGGCTGCCCTTCGGGGAGAGTGGCAGCGTCGTTAACTGGGAACTGTGGGCCTGGACTCGAGAGTCCCTTGGCGGAGGTGTCGCTGCCCACCCTCACTGCCCTGACGGCCCTGCTTTGCGGCGCCGGCTCCTGGAGAGGACGAGGGGGGTGATGTCCACACTGTGCACACCTGCCGGGCTAGCGGGACGCCGTCGCGGGCAGGAGCCGCAGGTGCCTGTGAAGCCAGCACTTACTCTCGCCCTTCCTGGAGAGCTGAGAAGTTCTGCTCTGGAGCCTGCGAGAGGCGAGCCAGGCAGTGGGACCCGCGCCTTCCTGGGGGGTGCCCAGGAGGGGCACGGAGCCACACGGCCGGGCAAGCCTTCTCAAGCCCTGGCCCCGGCGCCACGGCCCGTTTGTTCCTTGCGAGGCAGGCTCCGTCTTTCCCAGCCTGGCAGCCCGCTTGGCTCAGCGCCGCATGCCCCCGGGCAATGCTTCCCAAGCTCCGCTGGCGTGGATGCCTCGTGTTTCTGAACGTTGGTGGGTGATCACACCACCCCTGGGCTGCGGTGGTGGGTCCCCGAGGTGAGGCAGTCACCGCCCCAGTGCGGACCTTGGCAAGGGCTCCTCGATCCAGGCTCTTCCCACGCCGGCGCCCACGGCAGAAGACGCCAGCACCTGCCACTCCCTGCCCTCTCGCCCCAGGTGGCTTCTCTCCAGGTGAGTTCACGAGCCAGGGCGGGGAGGAAGCTGTTCTCCCCACTCCGCATCTGCACGGTGACTGTGGGTGGGGGTCTGCGTGGTGGGCCCCACATGGCCCCTTCGCTGGGGACCAGCTCGGGAAGCTGCCTGTGGGACCGGCTCTGGCCAGAGCACGGCCAGCGACACTGCAGGGCACTCACCCCGTGATCACTCAACGCGGAGTGGACGTGGCCCTCTGCTGCCCTGTGCATGACCGCGACAGCGCTCTCAGGACTGCCGTAGACACGGGCCGCGCGGCTCAGCCGGGTGGAGCCCCGGCGGCCTGCTCCCCAGGAACTGAGCGTGGGGGGAAGGCGGCTGCCCAGCACAGGGGTGAAGCATTTGCCAGCGGCCCCCAGGCCCCCTCTCCCGTGCCCCAGCAGGGACCCCAGCCTCTGCCCCTCACCTGGCCCAGATTCTCCCACCACCGACAGCCAGGTGCTGGGTGAGGCTGCGCCAGCCAGGCCGGAACTGAGCACAGGCTGCTTCCCCAGTCTCCAGGGCCCTCGCCCGGCTGACCTGTCACCTGCATCTGTGCAGTGTGGGGCCCAGAAGTCACCCCGCAGGGCAGAGAGCGCCTCGTGGCAGAGGTCTTCTGACCAGAGGTGCACTAGCCAGAACAGCTTCCGTCCCCAAGGCCGGGGCTGGCCCTGAGGGGCCTGGGTGCCCTCCACCCCGTGTCTGCATGCGTATGTGTGTGTGCACACGTGAGCTGAGAGGCGTGGTGTCCTCTGTGTCCCTAGTCAGTGCTGGCTGATTGTGGCACTGGGTGCTGGCTACTGAGGCGCAGGCAGCCCACAGCGGGTCCTTGTCACGCTGGAGGCCTGGCTGCAGAGCTTGCCCTCGCAGGGCCCCTTGGGTATAAAGCGAGAGGTCTGGTTCCTGGGCTGTGCTCTGCAGAACTGCTTAGGGACAGCCGTGGGGGTGGGGAGAGAGCAGTATGGGGTCCAGCCGTATAGGCCACCCCCTTCCCCCATGAGAAAAGCTCCACTTTGCTGGGTTTGACATACTGGGCTCCAAGAAAAGGTTCTGCCGTGAAAACCGCCGGGGTCGCCTTTCAGGACTGAGACCCGTGGCTCTGGGAAGTGGCCACATAAGGTCCTGAGTGTTGGGTGCTGGTTTGGGGCAGGGCTGAGTATGAGGAGGCTCCATGTGGCCCACCTGTCCCCCAGCCCAGCTCCAGGTCCCCCCCTACCCCATTCCACCCCTCAGGCCAGGGGTGCCTGGAGCCGAGTCAGGTGTTGGACTTGGCGCCAACTGTCCTGACTCCAAGGCTTGGCCGGGTGCCCTGACTGCCACCGGGACTGAGAGGTCGCTTTCAGATGCACTTCCTGTGTGCCTCTAAGTTTCTGGGTCCCCCTAACTCTTGAGCAGTTAGGGGGACAACGGTGCTACGATACCTGCTGCCACCAGCTGAGCTGGGGTGAGGGGGCTCCGCCGGCAGCTGTCGGGCAGGGTCCGGGCTGCCTGGAGGTGCAGGTGCGTCAGGGCGGCGGGGCCCGCCAGGGTCTGCTGCCCACACAGAGGCCGGGGGCACCACAGAGCCCAAGCGGCTTTGGGGCGGGGCTGGCGGGCAGCAGTCGCACAGGCTGTGAGCTTCCCTGGGAAGCTGCCCGTGGTGGGCGGTGTCCCAGATGACCAGCAACCCCTGCCCTTGGTTCTCAAGGTGGGGAAGCTGAGGCTCGGGAAGGGCGGGATTTGGGTGGCAGCCTGGCCGTGCTGAGCCCAGGCCCCTGACTCGGGGCATGGACCCTCCCCTGCCACCCACTTCAGCCACACGTGAGCCCTCAGAACTGGGTTCCATGCCCAGCTCGGCCACGGGCCAGTTGCGACCTTGGTAGTCAGTCCCGTGCCTGTCTGAGCCCCCATTTCCTCACTGGCTGGGGACAACAGTGCCCACATCCTGGGGTGGGGGCTGTCGGGGGTCAGCACAGTAGCCGCCATCGTGTTGGCAACAGCTGTCAGGGAGAGCCCAGACGGTGGAGCCCTCGGCACCCTCAGCACAGGCTTCCCGGGTCTGCTGGCACCTGCCGTCCCTCTCGGAGCCCAGCTGTGAGCTGAGGCCCTGCGGTGGGAAACTGTTCCCGGGGTCCCGGCCAGGCCCGTCCACCTTCCCGACGCCCAGACCTGGCCCTGCCAGGGCGCCCTGGGCCCTGTCTGTGGCTAAACTTGAGCAGCCCTGGTCATCTGTAAGGACCTCTGGTCCAGCTGACCCTTCGAGCTGCAGCCAGAGCCACTTGCTGCTGAGGGGACCGACGGTGGGGGGGAGGGGTAGTGGGGTGGGGAGGTTAATTGGGCAAGGCCCCACCTGGAGAGGCAGGTGGCCGAGATCACCTTGGTGACTATCGTGCCTGAGGTCCCATCCCAGCCATCTGCCCCTCCAACCCTGTGGTCTCACACAAGCTGTGCGGGTGGGCAGGGCTCCGTGCCCGGGCGAGGGGGCCGGACAGTGGGCTCCGTGCTCCGCCGGCCGACTCCCGGCCGACTCGGCGGCCTCTGCCCCACGCGAGTGCGAGCCCCTCTCCAGCCGCCCCCGCGGCTGCGGGACAGGCCAAGTGCAGAGCACAGCCACCGCGGGCTCTTCCACCAGCCCGCAGACACTAGATAAATACTGGATTTTATTAAATAAACTCAAGGGATTGTTTTATCCGTAAGCCTCAAATTGGTTTTAAGAATAAATAGCCGTTGGGGACTGTTAGTTCTTAATAAAGAGTCTCGATTCCTCGGCACTCCAGCCGCAGCCGCAAGAGAGCCCGGCACGGGCGGTTTATCACCGGGGTCCTGGGGGCAGCACGGCTGGGGAACCCCAGATCCATCCCGAACCCAAGGCCGAGAGGATCCCCCGGCTGCCGGCCAGGCCCCGGCCAGGCCCCGGCCAGGCCCCCCCTCTTCGCGACGGCCGGGGCCGTGCCGTCTCCAGGGCTCCCAGGCTGCCTAGGAATTCGGCTGCTCTGACTAAAAGGATGGGGCAGTTCCGGGGAGACGGTGAGATGTGGTCCTGGCACGTCGGGGGTCCGACCCACTCGTGCCCTGAGACGGGGGCTGGGGGGGGCACGCAGCTAGGTTAGAGGCAGAGGCGGAGCTGGGTCACCACGAGACTTTATTGGAGACAGAACACACATGACGCCAAGTGCACACACCTTGCCTAGCGACTGTCCTACGCCACGCCTCACCCGTGGCAGCTGTGCTGGCCCATACAGCTCCCTCCCCACGTACCCCCAGATCCCGAGGACGCCCCTGGCAACGACGCAGCCCTCTGGGTTTGCCGAGTCCTGCCAGCTGCCTGGGCCAGTCAGAGTTTAAGGACAAGCTGCTCTTGCAAGCAGAAGAAACAGAGCCCTGGGAAGGCCCGGTCACTTGTCTCCTTGTTCTGGGCTCTGCAAGTCCCCTGCTGGGTCCTCCTGCTGGTGTGTTGTTCCTGAAGCCACAGGACAGGGACCTGCAGCTGGCCCAGGGCCTTGCTCACGTCCCATGTCACACATACGGCTCCCCCTGCCCCTCCCCTGCGTGGGGCCAGCGCCCTTGGTTTAGCAGGTGCAGTTCGTGCTGACACATCCCACCGACCCCCCACATCTGCGCTCTTGGGTGACAGGGCCTCTGCGGCTCTGGCCTTGGGCAGGTGGCAGCAAGGGTTGGAGACCAGGAGTAGGTGGGCACCGGCGATGTCACTTCTGCCCCGAAGACAAACGCTATAAAACCTATAACACGCGGCCGCAGGGAAACGCCCTCTGCGAGCTGCGCTCGGCTCCCGGCCCCCGGCCGAGTGTGCTGAGGCCACTAGGGGAGAAACCGAGGGTCCCTCCACCTTCTGGACTCGGGGCTCAGGAAACCGGCTGGTGGCCTCTGGTTTAATGGGGAGACATATGCATGGTGCGAGGGGCGGGAAACGCGGCCACGGCTGACACGGAACCTGCCCGCCTGTGCGTGTGGCCAGGCGGCTGCTGGAGGACGCCACCCGCAGACCCCTCCCCACCCCGCTGTCCTCGTCAAGGGAACAGGGAGAGGGGGTTGGGCAGGTGACACGTGGGACAGGGCCACAGGCAGGCCCGGCGGGGCAGGGTCTGAGTGCAGTGACTGTGGGTCCTGTGTGACCCTGTCACACGAGTGACCCTCGGCCTGGTCACTCTTCCCTCAAGCCTCAGTGGAGCCGCCCCTCCCCCACACGGGCTCAGCCCTCTGCTCCTCTTCCTGTGGTCACTCCCATCTCGGTGACGTCAGACCATGGGCTGTGAGGGGGTGTGCAGGGACCGTTCCTGCTCAGTGCCAACCCTCAAAGCACGTCCATCCGGACGGCGGGGCGGACGCACTGGCCGGGCTGTCCCTGTGTCGGCGTGGTGCCCACTGGGCCAGCGCCTGGCAGGGCCTGCAAGAGGCTCGAGGGCAGTAACTGGGGCTCTATAAGGGACAGTGTCTCCCACGGGGCCAGCTGCTGGGGACACGTGCTGCCTGGACCTGGACCAGAGGCTCCTGGGGCCGCCCTCACCTGTCCCCGGCCCCGCGCCAGCCCAAGCTGCTCCGCGTTGGGCGGCAGCCAGGCCCTGGCACCAGGGCTCCACTTCCTGCCACACGCGCACATCTGCGAACCCATTAACATCACACTCACCGGAGTCTGTTTGATGACACATCAGAAGGCGCCTGGCACTTTCTAAACAGCGGCTGGCACGCCAGGCTGGCAGCTCCAGCCTGGGGCCAGCGGGCCTCCCTGGGACAAGCTCGGGGCGCCCCTGGGCCAGCTCCCTGGGCTGCGGGGGGTGGGAAGAGGGGCCAGGGGAGGGGACTCCCCTCAAATCTCGTGGGCTCATGGCATCCACACCTCCCGCCCTGCCTGCACCTGGACTGCTCCCTGTCACCGCCCTGGTCACGCTGGGCTGTAATCGCCGTTTCTTGGCCGGCTCTGCTTGTGGCTGGCTACTAAGCGGCAGCGGCCGTCTTGTCCAGCGCCCAGGGCCGACTTGGCCTTGGCAGACCGGAGTGCTGCAAACACCTGCTGGATGCCGAGGAGCAGGTGACGCCAGCGGGGACAGCCAGGTCACACGGCCAGCCAGAGGCACTTGGCCCTTCCTACCGCCCCTGGCAACTCTGATTTATTATTTTTTAAGCACAAACTTTGGTGGGATGGGAAGAGAGGACTGAACCCCCATCAAGACGTGCCCGCCCTACTGCCTGGAGGCAGGTGGGGGCCAACCTGTCCCGTCCACAGCTCCCCAGGCTGACTCCCGGCCTCTCAGAGGCCCCCACAGGCGGGAACTTGGGAAAACAGGCCTGCCCTGGTCCCAAGAGCGCACGAGGGCCCAAGGCTGCCGGACAGGTCACTGAGGGCTGGGGTTCCAGGTTCTGGCGCCTGCGGTTCCCAGCTGTGTGTGCAAGGGGGTAGGGGTGGGGGGTGGGATAACCGCGTGTTAGGCGGTCTGTCTGGGGGGTGCTTGGCCTGGTGCCTCAGTGCCCCACCGGGCGAAATCGGTCCAGGTGGTGGTGCCCACACCCGCCAGCAGGGGGCGGGCTCCTCGCGGACACAGCAGCCTCTGGGAGGATCCGGTGACAGCCACCAAACCCCCAGCCGCCTCCACCCAGGATCCCAGAAAACCAAGAGGTCCTCGTTGGCCTGGCCCGGCCCAGCGGTGCAGGGTCTGCCGCCACCTCCCAGAGGCGGGGGGCATGGCGGGGGGCATGGCACGGGGCTCCGGCTCCCCGGAGGCGGAAGGCAGGAGGCTGGGCAGGAGCGGAGCGAGACCTTATTGGAGACAGCAGGTGGGCACAGCAGCAAAGGGGGCTGGGGACCCCCAGGCCACCGCCACGGGTGGAGAGCAGCACGGTGAGGCCCTTTGGGGAGAGGTGCGTCCTCCGGGCACCCAGGACACGCGGTGGGGGCTGGCAGCAGCAGGGCTGGAGGACACTGGCCTCAGACCTGGCATCAGGAACGCGAGAGCGTCCCCCTGAACCCGGCTCTCGGCGTCCCCGTGATGGCAGGTGCCTGGGCTGGCAAAGCAGAGGGGCGACCTTTGGCACCTTCCAGAGCCAGGGCGGGGCAGACCCCACCGTCCTGGCCAGGAGGCGGCAGACGCTTAGCAGAGGAGCCAGTCTGGGCAGGTAAAATTTGGGGTCACAGAATTTGCCAGACGCCATCAGCAGAGGCAGGAGGAGACGTTCGCTGCCAAATGGAGGGGTGGGGACAATGAGAAGGTGGTGTGTGACCTCACTTGCCCAGCGACACTGGTGTCTGGGCCGTCCTGGCCCATCCCCACCGGAGAGCAGTCTGCCAGGCACGGGGGGCAGAGACTGTTCTCTCGGGAGGGGCTGGGGACGGGCATGGAGGCATGGGGCAGGGGCGGGGCCAGACAGCAAGCAGCTGGGCGAGGCGCCGGCCTAGTGGTCCTCCCGGACCGGCCGGATCTTCATCTCAGAGAACTTGAGTGAGTACTGCCAGCCGGTCCAGGAGGACCACTCCACGCCGTCGGCATAGGAGGCGTGTGCACCTCGCAGGTATTGCCCGTTGAGGTTTGACGTGTGGCAGTTGCGGTACCACCAGGCTCCACGGTAGAAGGCGGCGCAGTTGTTCTCCGAGTGGTCGCTGTCACGGTCCTTGGTGGTGAACCTCATGCCACTGTGCTTCAGGAGGGAGTCACCTGTGCGGTGTGGACACGGGGCACAGGTACACCCATGTGTGTCGCATGTGTGAGCACAGGCACTGACACGCTGCGCACAGACCGGGATGTGAGTGTGCACACACATGGACACGGATGCTCCCCGCTCTTACGCACTGGTGTGCACGCTTGCACACGCACCTGCCGGTCCACACCAGGAGGTGTCCATGCAGCGCACACATACGTGATGCCTCCCTGGTGGTCCCCAGGGCTGCCCCTGGTCTAGGCAGTCTCTGTGCCTCCTCTCAGCTTTTCCTTCCTCCTCCCCCCTTCCCTGCCTCGGCCTGAGAGGAGAACCCAGCCCTGGGGGGTTCGGCCAGCACGCTTTAGAGCAGACCCAAACCCCAGGTCTCTCAATTCCTGGCTCTGGGCTCAGCTTACTCATCTGCAAAATGGGCAAGCGAAGCGGGTTATGCTGGCTTCGCATTGCAGGAGTGAGGCCTGGGGGGACTTGGAGGTGGAGGGGAGTGGCCTTGACCGTGGCCCCCTTCCCCACCCCACCCCCGCAGCCTGGGGCCTTACCTGCAGTGCCCGAGTAGTCAGCCACGGTGAGCGGGTACCCGTCTTCCTCCGGGTCCACGGAGAACAACCCCACGCCAAAGCTCCCGTAGCGGGCATAGGCCGTGCCGTTGTCAAAGTCCTCCAGGTCCACATGTAGCTCATAGGCGGCCTGCGTGGTCAGCGCGTGGATCCTCTTCAGTCCTGAAGTGGGGAGAAAGTGGTGGGAGAAGCTGAGGGGCTTAGGAGTGACCCCCAGAAAGAACTGAGGAGAAATGACAGCTGAGTTCCTATGATTGGTGACAGAAAGGGACAACTACCACCAAGTACGTGCTATCAGCCCTGGGCTACTTCCTTCTTCCTGCGGGCCTGTATCTGGCAAGAAATTGAGCACTGACAGTTTTCACGTGTGGTTTTCTCTGTTTGTTTCAAGTCGGGCTCTGCTTTCCAGACGAGGGGTTCTGAGCTGACGGCTGGGAGAAAGATTGCGGGAGGCGGGGTCTGGGGGTGACAGCACCCTTAGCCTCCCTCAGGCTGTGGGCTCCAGCCAGAGCCAGACGGGATCTGGTACCTGCACTTCCCTGCTCCTGGCCTCTGAGCCTCTGCACAGGCTGTTCCTCTGCCTGGGACAATGGTCCCTGCTCCTCACCTGGTCACCTTCTGTTCATTCTCAGGCCTCACCTCGGGAAGGCTGCCTGGCCTCCTGCCAACGCCTGTGCCCTGCCACCAGGGTTTATCACTGGGGGTCGCGGCTGCTGTTTCCCTGTCGGTCTCCCCACCAGCGTGGAGGCCGCGTGGAGGCCACGTGGAGCAGCGTCCGGCCTGGGGCCACGCCACGGCCGCTCACTAGGCGCGGCTCCGCGGAGAGGGTGGGGGGAGGCGGCGCCACCACCCGTGCCCAGGGCCTGCCTCTGTGCCCCTGCCACGGCCCGCCCCACTTTCTCCGCCCGTCCTCGGCTCTCCCGCGCCATCCTGAGGTCCACGCCAGCCCCCACTCGCACACTCAGGCGCCTCCTGCCCGTGTGATTACTCTTGATTAACAGGGCATTTAATTAGACGCCTTACAAGTTAGCAGCAGCGAGTGACATTTCATCAGCCTGTCCCTCCTGCCTGCCTCTCCCGGGCTCCGAGCCCCCCGCGGGTCAGTGTGACAACAGCCACCACCTGGACGCACTCACGAGGGCCAGGCATTGTTCTGAGCGCTTCACACAGATCCACGAATCAAATGCATCAGAATGAGCCCAGTTTGATTACAGAATCCCCGCGCAGCTCTGCACGCGGGGCCTGGCCAGCCGCACGCCTTATCCAGGTGTGTGCTCTGCTCCCAGGAGACCAGCAGAGGAGGCTGTGACTGTCCCCGCCCCACGGCTGAGGAACATGAGGCCCAGGGAGGTTAGGTGTCTGGCCCCGTCACACAGCTGGTGAGCGGCACAGCTGGGATTGAGCCCCTTGCTCTTGTTCAGGTCTTACCCAGGACAAGTCACGCGGCCCGGGAACAGGGCAAGAGGGAGACCACGTGGCGCAGTGGTGTCCCACCACTAAATGGGCGCCGGCACCCATTCCTTTGGGCTAAGCCATGCTCCTAAGGGGTGCCCTGAGGGCGGGGGACCTGGGGCCTGGTTCCTCCTACCTTTCCTGCCCCCTCCTCCTTCCAGGATCGCTCCCGGACCTTCACGGCTGCTCCCGGATGCCCTGGCCCCTGCGTGCTGAGCCCAATCCAACCCCGCCGCCCCCACGTTCAGACCAGAGCACGGGAGGCTTAGGGGAAACGCACACCTCACATGGTCACCCCCTCGGACTTCCCGATGGATTAAAGATCTGAACCTACAACACTGAAAAACCCCAGAAAACAATACTGGAGACATTTTTAATACAACCAGAGGGAAAAGCAGGGCCTAAAACCCAGGAGATGTGAAGGAAAAGACTGGAAGAATAGACTACATAAAAAATTTAAATTTCTAGGAAATAAGCAATAACAAGCAAAAAAGGAAAAAAAGCAAAAGCAAGCCGAAAGACAAATGGCTGGGAGTGAGTATCCATCATGTGTACTGGACAAAGGATCAATAACCTTAATATATAAAGAGCTCCCATAACTCAATAGGAAAAGACAAAACGCGCAGTGAGGAGGTGGCCGGGAGTGTGGAGGGGCAGGGGAGGGGCCGAGCAGGGCTGGGGCGCCCCGCGTTGACATTCCCGTCAGGGCTGGTGTCTGCAGGACGCGCTAATCAAGGCCGGATTACACGCTTCTTCCTGCACCTTGCGCGGCTGTGATAGATTTCAATTAAGATACGGCGCACCGCCGCGCCTCCTCGGGGATGCGTGGCCACGCGGGGGCAGCCCCCGCCCGCCGCCGGCTGCTTATCGCTGCGCCCACCTGGGTGGGGAGGGACCTAGGGTCTCCCCGTCCTGCCCTCCTTCCTGCCACACAGCTCAGGGGCTGGGGCTGGGGCGGCCCCCCACACTCACTCACTGTGACAAGGGACCTTACGTTTCTGAGCCTCAGTTTCCTCATCTCTAAGGGGGGCGACAGCAGTGCCCCCTCCTAGGTGAGGGCGAGGTGTCGGGCGCACAGGAGGTGGGCAGCACGCAGGACTGTGGCTGTGACGTCCACCAGGACGTGTGGCCGCCCCTGTGGTCAGGGACCATCCGGGCCCCAGGCCAGGGAGATGGACATGGTGACTGTCACCCGGTGCCTCTGTGCGCACAGCAGGTGGGCACCACCCCGCCGCCTGGAGCCTGCCTTGCGACCACCACCCCCGCCTGCCAGCAGCTCCACTGTCTCCTTGCAGACCGGGGACCCTCCCGACCCCTGGTGCCCAGGCCTGGGCTCCCAGCCCTCAGCCGCCCGCCCACACCTTTGGTGTCCTTTGTGTCCCTGCCCGCCCGCCTGCTCTGGGCCACGCTGGGGACTTGGCCCTGGGGACTTGGCTGGCAGCCACGCCGGGACATTAAGGTGCCAGAGGAGCAGCCGGGGCGGCTCAGGTGCACACAGCCCGCCGCCCACGCGCATCTAAGAACCACGGGACGGGCGCTCATGGGGCACAGGTTCCTTTCTGGGGTGAAGAAATGTCCTGGAGCGAGCAGTGAGTACTGTACCGCTCTGTGGACATGCCCAAACCACTGGAACCCACACTTTACAGTGGCGGGTTTTGTTGTATAGAAATTGTATCTAAAAAAAAAAAAACCCAATAAAAACCTTACCTCGAGCCACAACCACTTCCCAAATATGTATATGTGACCTCAAACTTGAGGGTTTTGAGGGTATTACTGTGTAGAACAAAATTAGATATTCAAAAATTTTTAAATACTGAGTGATTTTAAAGGTAAACAGTAAATACCTAATAATAACAATATCAACAGAACCTTTTTGAGCCCTTATTTCGTGCCAGGCGCAGTCTGCGTCCCAGCTGTGGGCAGCCTGCGGGCACCTTGGGACTGAGGCAGGACCACGGCTGGGAGCCCCGGCCAGCCGCTCGATGGGGGTCACAGGCCTGGTGACCCCAGCACAGCCACGGGGCACGGCCGACCGTGGGGCAGGCCAGTGCCGGGGTCGTCCTTGGTCCTCCTGGTGCCTGGGAGCGAGCCCTGCACCTGCCCCTGCCCCGGCTCCCGCCTGCAGGATGGCGAGCAGGTCCCAGGGCGACGGGAAGGGCCCCCCGGTCACCCCACGGCTCCCCACCTGATTCCGGGGGCTGTGGGACCCTCGGCCTTTATGATCCCAGTTCTGCAGAGCCCTCCCCACCCCCACCGCCACCCCTCCCTCGGCCCCATCCTCATTGGCCTCGTGCGTCCTGAATGGCTGGGCCGCCGTGCCGGGCAGCACCTGTGCGCTGGCGCAGGTGTGCTGAGGCCGGGACCCAGGCCAGATCCGCCCGGGGAGGGCTGGGAGCCCGCAGCATCTGGAAGGCACAGGGAGAAGGCTACCGGGCGGCGGTCGTGGCTCTCACCTAGCCAGTGCTCCCCCGTGAGCTTGCCGAAGCCGTCGCGGTACGCCTCCCAGCCCCGGAAGAAGTTCACGGAGCCGTCCTCCCGGCGCTGGAACACCTGCAACGGGAAGAGAGGGTGGAGAGCGGGGCAGCCACCCCAGGACCCCCGGCCCCCGCGTGTCCACAGGTACTCCCCTCCCTGCTCCCCACCTGGCCGTTTCCGGCCCTCAACACAGGAGCCTCGTGAAGCTCTGCAAGGAGGCTGGCTGGATGCCACCGTCCCCGAAATGCCCCTCAAGTTCTCTCGTGGCCCGGGTGGGGGAGGAAACCCAGCTTCCAGGCCACCTGTGCCCCTCACTTCGGGACCCTGGGCCGGTCTCTGCTCTGGCCTGGTCCCCCACTGGCCACATAAGGGGTGGGCAAGGGTCCTGACACCTGTGTCCAGGTCAAAACAAGACCGCATTCTCCAGTGCCTTACGGGCCAAGAACGGCCCCCTTAGGCGTGGCCCGGCAGCCCGGCGCTCGGCAAGCTCCCGCCCAGGCAGGGGGCCTTGGGAAGGCAGCGCCGAGCCCCAGCGGGGAGGACGGGAGTCCACGGCCAGGCTGGGTGTGACCCGGGTGCCAACGAGCCGCGGCGCTGCCTCCGTCCCTCATTCTAATAACACTCTCGATCTGGGAGTCGGGAGTCCCAGCGGTTAAATTGCTTTGAAATCAGTGCCCGCCGGCCCAGGCGGAGCTGCCCTGAGCGTTTACAGGATCCGCTGACGCGCCGGCCCGGCCGCCCGGCCCTTTCTGTCTAACAAGCCTTTCCCGGCTCACTCAAGAGCAGCTCCCGGCCGCCACCTGCTCCTGCCAGCCTCTGCCCTGCCGGGGACGGGGACGCGGCTGGCTCGCAGCTTCATTACTAAGCAGCCGGTCCAGCGGCTGGGGCTGGGAACTGCCGCGTGGCGGCCTGGCCGGCGGCGTCTGCTCTGCTCGGGGAGCCCGTGGGGACGTGTCAGTCGCGGCGCCTGGGCGGCTCTGACGTCAGGGGCTGCAGGGAGATGACACCTGTCTTTCCCTGCTCCTCCACCTCAGCGTCGTGGAACCAGGCGTGCAAGGAAGTTCCCGGCTGGGGGGAGGCGGTATTGGCGGCTGCAGATTGGGACCCGAGCACGCGCCTGAGAAGGGCCTATCCGGCAGGAGCTGGGGCGGGAGGAGCTTAGGGAGCCGCGTGACCGCGAGGTCTGCCCGCAGCAGGCCCAGCCCGGCCGGGAGTCTGGCCTGGGGACCGCGCCCTGAGCACACCGGCGCTGAAGGAGGCTCCATGCCAGGCGGGGAGCCCGGCGGTCACAGATCTGGGTGCTGGAGCCCCAGCGCTGCCACTGACCGCGTTTGGGGGGAGCCCCTGGCCCCTGCCTGTCTCCTCCTCCCGGGAAGGGACATGGAGATTGTGAGTCGACACCAGCTTAGAAACCGCAGCAGTCGCTGGCCAATGCGGGCACCCTCACTTGAGAGGTGACGGGTTGTGCCCCACCCCCGAGGGGCCAAGACACTTTGAGGCTTTTAGACCCGACCGGGGAAATGCAGTCTGCGCCGTCACACACACGTTTATCTGGAACTAATGCTCCCCGAAGTGACACTCGCCCTCCTGAAGAAAGATGAGCTCTAATTTCTCCTGTGTTCTAGGCCAGCCCAACCGATTTAAAAGATAATGCCGATCACAGCCGATCACAGCCCATCCAGGGGACGTCGCCGCCGGCCGAGGACCACAGTCTGCGGTTGGAGACACCTGCCTGACGCCGGCCTTCGCTGTGGCTGTCCTTGTCCACCGGCTCAAACGGGTGACCAAGCGCACCGGCACCGTGCTGCCATCTGGGAAACCCTGTGCCCGTCCTCGAGCCGATGACAGCGCAATGGCTGTTGTTCCACGTGCCAAGAGTGGCCTCAGCCCGGCGGCAGGCTCTCCCGGGGCCAGGTGCGGTGCTGTGTTTTGTCTGGCCCCGAGACCCCGCGAGACCTGCAGCTGTGGCTTCGTGTTTCTGGGAGCCAGCTGGACGTCTGGATGTCACCAGGCAAAGAGGCCTTTAATTACAGAGCAAGGGCCGGCCGGGCAGGAGGGTGCCGGGAGGGAAGCGAGTAGAGGGTCGATGTGGCCACGTCCCGCTCCGGCCCACCTACCCTGAATCCCCCCTTAGGCAAAAGGGCGGGGAACAAATTAATTGCCTGTTAATTTTGAGGCTCAAATATGAATCGGTCCGGCTCCCGGGGCATCTCTCTTGGGCCCTGGCCGGGAAGTGATTGATGTGGAAGCGCTCAGCGCCGCCGCGGCCCCTTGGGCGGGCGCCACGAGTGGGAGACAGTCGGAGCGTGTTTTCTTGGTGCAGTCTCAAGAGCCGGCCGCCAGCCGCCGGCACATCTTGGAAGTGCCGCTCGGGGCTCTGCCAAGGGAGCGCTCGGCCCACACGGCCCTGCAGATGGAGCTGGGTGGGTTCAAAGGAAGGAGTCGGCACTCAGGGCGGCGGAAGGGAGAGAGCAGCCGCCGCCGCGGGGGCCGCAGGATGCAGAGATGCCCCCGGGCTTCCTGGGCCCATTGCTCCGCAGGTCCTGGCCCAGCCGGGGCCCCCAGACCCTGTCCCACCTGCTTCTCATTTGCCAGGGTGCCAAGAGCATGGAGTGGGCGTCCCGAACAACCGAGCTGGTGTCTTGTGGTGTCACCCCAGCACCCGGGCAGTGCCATAGGGGGTGGCCCCAGCCCTCCCCACACCCCTGGAGGGGGCATTTGTGCTCCCACTTGGCAGATGAGAAGACTAAGGCTTGGAGGCCTGGGCAACCTCTGTAGCGCCCAGCTGCCCCCAGGCCAGAGAGAGGGATGGCAGTGCGCAGTGCAAAGGCTGGGGGGCGCCCATGGCTTGATGGTGACATTGATCCTCCGTACCCACAAGCCATCTGTCCCTCTTGGCTGGCGCCCAGGAGACCCGAGTTCCACCCAGACTCTGGCCACAGGCTGTGTGGCTTCTGGCCTGCAAAGCGAGCCTACTGCGGGGGCCCGGCGTGTGCTCGGGTGCACAGGGACGACTCCGCCCTCAAAGCTCACGGCCCCAGGAGAGAGGGACACACAAGCCGACAAAGGGCAGAGCAGCCCCCAACCTGGCACATTCTTCCAAATCCCATGCCTCAGTTTCCTCATCAGTAAACCGAGGATCGTAACAGCCTCAGCCCACAGGCTTTGAGGAAGACTGAAGGAGCCGGTGCACAGTGTTCACTAACCGTAACAAAAGGGCCTGCTGGGAGCGCCGGGAAGGAGTGAGCCCCTCTGCGGGGGCGGCTAGAGGTAGTCTGGGGGGCTTCCTGGAGGGGGGATGTTTGGCTGAGCTACAGATTGAGCAGGGCCTGGCTGGGTGGCCAGAGGAGCTGAGACCAAAGGGACGGGGGACACAGGTGCGTCCAAACCCTGTAAGATCGGGGGGTGCCTTTGACGGGTCCTCAGGAGGCAGCACCTGGGGTTTTCGCAGACTAGCATGAAGCCGCTGCAGGAACCGGTTGCGGCAGGACCGTGGCGGTCGCGTAGCCGTGGCACCCACCAGCCTCCCAGGCCTCCCGAGCAGGTGATTCGGGGAGGGAGGCAGAGGGGCCGTAGCAGAGGCAGATTCTTGTTTTTGAGGAACAAAGAACCCGGCCGTGTGAGCAAAAGCAGCGCTTCAAAGCAGCCCCGGGGAGCCCCCGCCGACTCCCAGGAGGCCGAGCGTCCTCAAACCCTTCCTGCGCACCTCTGGCGGCGTCCCCAGGGAGGCCTCTGGGCTTGCTGGCAAGAGCACAGGTTCTAGAAGGAGGCAGAGCTGAGTTCAAATTCTGCCTCTGCCTCTCGAAGGCCACGTGACCTCGGAAAAGTCATGGAACCTTTCTGAGCCTCAGTTTCCCTCTCCGTAAGGCCCTGCAGTGCCACGGCAAAGACACGGCGCGCAAACGTCGTAAACCAGGCGGCCCCGGTAGGTCTGCCCGGCGTCCCCGCCCCTCCCTGCAGAACCAGCTGCTGGGCCCAGACGGAAATCGGGCCCACTCCTTGTTTTTGACTGAAAATGGTACCCCCGGGCTTGGCGCCCTGCCTCAGCTCCCAAGCTTGGCAGTCGGCGCCGGGCTCCTGGCAGAACGCTGCCGGGGCTGCCATTTACCGGCGCGGCGTCCGCGGACGATCCACGTGCACGGGCCGCGAACGTTACAAGCCTCAGCGCGCAGGTTGGGCACGGTGGCCGGTCACCTGCCCATTATCTGCGTGTGTGCTTGGGGGGCCGCTCCCCAGGGCAGGGCGTGGCCCGGGCAGCGTGGGGACGCCGGCGCACTGACATCACAGCGGGCCCGGGGGCAGGGAGAGCTGGCCACAGAGGGGCAGGAAGGAGCCAACGTCCCCGAGACGGGCCCTCCCCGGCGGGGCTGCAGCCCCCATCCCAGGGGCACCCCCTGAATCCCCTGCCGAGCTCCTCACCCCTCCCTGAGCCTGGTCCCCCCACCCCCGCAGGGCTTCGATGTTCTCAGGCAGGGCAGGGCGGGCTTTCCTGCCCACCAGAGCCCAGGCCCAGGAAGGGCTGGGGAGGGAGGGCCGCCCCCGCGGGGCCAATTAGAGGCACCTGTGAACCTGCTGCCCCTGCAGGCAGGAGAGCGCCTGGCCGTGGGCTGCTGGCAGAACAGGGTTTGGGCCCCTTGGCGCTCCTGGTATTGAGGGATGCTGGCAGTGCCGTGGATCAGAGTAGGTGGCACGGAGCCACGCTGAGTCTAGTCCAGGTCCCTGCTGTAGGAGGTGCTCGGCGGGGCCCAATGTGTGTGACCTCGGCCAGTGATTATGCAGAGACGGAGGGTTGACAATTAGCTGGGTGGCAGCACCCCACCTTCCCCGCCCCTCCACAGACCTCGGGGAGGGGCGAGGCTGCACTGCAGGGCGGGGAGGCTGGGCGGCAGAGGGAAGAGCCTCCTTCAGAGAACCGAAAACCTGCACAGGCTCTGGGCATGGCCACCACACTCCCTGGGCCCTGCAACGGGGCAGGGGGCTGTCCCACTGGCCAGAGAGGAGGGGCCCAGTTCCTCTGTTCACAGGGAGCCCCCAGGCTCACCCTACCCCACCCCTGCCTCCCTCCTTGTAGGCCAACAGTCTATGAAGGACCCCCACGTCTGTAAGGTAGCTCTACATTATACCCACTTAGCAGATGAGAAAAGTGAGGCTTAGAGAGGTGAAGTTACACTGCCAAAGGATGGACCTGTGACAGGTGTCACGGAAGGGCAGGAGGATCACCCCACACGACCCAGCCCTGCCATCTCCCCCTGCCTGTCCTTCACCCAGACCCCCCATACCAGATATGCCAGAAGCAGGGAGCCACCCTGGCCCCAGAACAAGCCCTGCCATCTCCCTGCCTGTCACTTGCTCCAACCCCCAGCCCTTAGATCTCCCATCTGGCTCTTGGTGGCCTCAGAACGGGTTAGGGGCCTCTCCTCTGGGCCCCCGTGGCCTCCCAGCCCTGACACAAATCTCTGGCCCTCTCTGAGGCTGCCCGGTGGCCTCTGGAGGTTGAAGGGCCCAGTGCGGTGCCATGTGGGGCAGGGGCACGTAAACTGTAAAGTGCGCTGGGACGGGCAGGGCTGCTGAGCCCCGTCCTGCACACTCTGGTCTCTCTGGGGAGCAGCCCGGGTGCCCCGTCCCCGAGGGGGCCGCCCGCCCCCCGGCCGGAAGCCGGCCCCGTGGAAAAGGGGCCCGAAGAAGAAGGAAGGCAACCCGCCCCGGAAAAGCCGCCGCCGCCCCCACCCAGAAAAAAAAGGAAGTCCCGAAAAAATCCCCCGGGCAAGGAAGGGAACCCGAAAAAAGGCCGGCCGGGCACCGGAAAAAAAGCCTTTGCTGAAAGCCCAAATGGATGCGAACGTTCACGGGTCACGCAAGCACTTCTCGGGCAGACCGGCCTCCCTCCCGGAGCCCCGGACGGTGTCTGAGCGCCAGGGCTGCGCGGGTGCTGTCCCTCCTGCACCCCTGCAGTCGCCCGGGAGACGGGCTTCCGGTCGGCCCGAGTGGGGGGCGTCTGGGTCTTTCATTACCCCCGTCCAAACCCTTAACTCTGATTTCTGCGTCCGGCCGGCGCCTCGCACTATCCCGCGCCGGGGCTTCCCAGAGGCGCGCGCCATAACTCAGGCGCTGGCAGTTAGGAAAACAAAAGTGCTTTTAGCCCCCAGACGCGGGTCCGGTGCATTTAAAAGCTCTCCTCCGAGCTGGGGGCAGGTCTTTGCAGGGCTGGGGATGCCGGTCTCCGCACTGGCCGGATGGGGCTGCTCCCTGGCTCTGCCACCCCCCCCCCCCCCTGCTGCAGGCGCCGACCCCTTTCCAAAGCACCAGGTTGCTGCACCCTCACTTCCCCCACTCCCACTCCCCTCCTGGGCTGCCCTCGCCCTCGCCCCGTCTCTCAGTCACTGGCTTTATCTGATGTCAAACTCCCCTGCCCCCCCCCACGTTTGTCAGCCTGGACATCGATGCACTGAGAATGGTCAAGACCCAGCTCGTTGGCAAGGACCAAGGATCCCGCCAGCCTCTCCTTGTGCCCCGAGTCCTAGGTCAGAGGCCAGGGCAGCTTCTACCTGGACCCCCCCTCCCAGCAGCTGGACTCCCACCTCCTGCGGCTTCAGGCTCCTGGCCCCTGGGCCACTGTGGAGTCCCTCCTGGTGGGTCTCAGTGAGGAGTGGGTCGCTGTGGGGTGGCCAGTGCCTTGCATGGGGCAGGGCTCGTTGTCACGCAGAGCGAGCAAATGCTCCGTGCATGTGTGTGGTCACAGAAGCCAGGCGGGCCCGGAAGTGCTGCAGTGGGCACGTGTCTATTTTCTGTCCTTCCTCATCTTCTGCGGTTGGGGGGAGGCACGGACGACTCTCACCATAGCTGCTAAAGATGCCAGCTGCTTGCAGGGATGACTGTAGGTGCATGACCCAGACGCCACGGGTCAGAGGCTCACGCTGAGCCGGAATCAGTAGCTGGGGGCCCAGTGGCAGGACAGAAGTTCGGTGGTGGCAGCCCTGGGGGCAGGTTCTCGCCAGGGAGCCCCGGCCTGGTCTGGGGGCTCTGCACCTGGTGAGTGGCCCTGAGCGGGTTTCTTGGGCCTCCCAGCGTCCCCCGGTCCCTTCCTTCTCTGCTTCAGTTGCCCCCTTTCTGTTGCTTGTGGTCAAGAGCTCTGAGCCATAAAGGTGGTGCCCCCATGTCACAGCTGAGGAAATGGGCTCAGAGAACTTAAGTAACTTGCCCAAGGTCACACAGCAGGATTGAGAGCCACGCCCAGGGCTGGCTTGGGATGACGGCGCCCAAGCCCAGGCTCCCTGGCCTGTCTGGCAGAGGGCCCCCCCACACCTGTCACCGAGTGCACAAAGACGAGGCTCCCGGCAGGACTTACGGCTCCTGAAGCACAGCCCTTATCCGGGCTTCCCCTCTTCCTCGCCCTCCACAGCTCCCCCGTGCCCGTCTCGAACCCGCAGCCCGGCATTCTGGCCACGCTAGCCCCATCGCGTCACGTGCCACACGTCCTGCTGACTGTCCCCTGAACGTGCCGCGGGCCCCTTGTCAGGTTGCTGCCCCTTCCCGGGGTACCTTCTGTCCCGCACAGGCTCCCGAGTCCTCCCCACCCCGTGCGGCTCACAGGAGGGCCTCCCTCAGCTCTGCCACCCCAGTCCCCAAAGACTCTACTAAGTTCCCCGGGAGGACTGGGACGGGGCTTCCCATCTCAATCCTTCCCCAGGACCCGTGTTCAGTAGGACCAAATGTCTGTCCCACTGAAATTAAATGGGAAGCTGAGAGTCCTTACAGAGCCAGTTCTGCTGTCCTGCTTTCCACTGTCACTCTGTGTCCCCACCACAGCCAGGCTGTGCTGCTTTCGGGGTGGCACACAGACCTCCAGGGACAGTGGTGCAGGTTGTTCACTGCTCAAGGGCACCTGGCCAACAAGGCAGGGCTCACATCTGCCCTCGCCAAGCCCAGCACCCCAGTAAGCACAAAGGAACGGACGTGCATTTGTTAAATTCACACAAAATCACCCACAGGCCAGTGGTGGCCCTGCTAAAAGCCCGGGGCCGAGCCTGAGCCTTAGGAGCGGGTCAGAAGCCCAGCAATTTGGGGACGGGGGCAGCAAGCTCAGGTCCCACCGTCAGAAAAGTCAGGAATCCCCAGCCCCGGGATGGGGTCAGCGAACCTGCCTGCTGCCTGTTTCAACGCGGCGTGTGAGCTAAGAATGGTGTGAGCGTTTTAAGTGGTTTTTAAAAATCAAAAGAAAAAAAATGTAAATATCCTTTGAATAATATTTAAGGAGGAATCGGGAACGCTGTATGAAATTCAAATTCCGGAGTCTACAAGTAAGGCGTGACTGGAGCAAGGCCACACCGTGCCTTCTCGCTTTCTCGGTGGCCGTTCTCGGTGGCCGTTCCCCTGCAGAGTTGAGTTGCTGCCACTGAGCCTGCTGGGGACAGCAGACCAGGGGACCACAAGCCTAAAACACTTCCCAGGAGGCGCTCTGCAGAGAAGTCAGCAGACCCTGGTCCGCAGAACAGGATCTGGAGGTGCCTTGGGGTCTTCAGTCCCCTCCCCCGCACCTGCAGCCATGGCCCCTGCCTGTGATTGGCAGCTGGGACTTCTCACCGCTGCCTGTTCCCACCAGGCAGGAGCCAGGAGGTGGGAGGCCGTGGGGGTCTCTGCCCCTGGCAACTGCCCTCTGTGTTCTGCGCACGCGCCGGGTGTTGGATTACTCGACAAGCGGGCCCTAGAACTCCTGCTGGCAACAGGTTCCCGGTGCCGCCTGTCATCTCAGCCAACCCCCATCGGACCCAACCCCAACGTGCCCAGCACCCCTCCCCCAGAGAATCAGGGCGCACAAGGTGGCTCCCTGTCCATCCGTCCGTCCGTCCGTCCGTCCGTCCGAGTGGGCCCCAATGGGTCGTTCCCAGGTCGGGTTTCTGTAGGGGCGGGGTCAGGCCGGGCAGAACCAGGGCCGGGCCACAGGCTCAGCGGGAGACGGGAGGCGTCCTGGGTCACCGAAGGCCTGCCTTGCCGGGCCACACAGCCCGGGGCACTCACCGTCCAGCCGCCACCGTCCGTGCGCATGTCGCAGTAGACCTGGAAGCCGGCGGGGTAGTGGGTGGGGAAGACGGAGTACACGCCGTCCTCTTGCTGTCCGCTCAGGAGGACGTCCAGGCAGTCCCGGGGCCGCGCGCCTGAGACAGGCGAGGCCCGTCAGCCCTGTGTTCCTGCAGACACCCCCACTGCCCCAAGACCCCCCCGCTGGCCTGTCCACGTGTGTGGTCCCGGGGTCAAGAGTCAGGCCTTGGCTCTGCCCCTCCCCGGGTGAGTTTGGGTGAGTGAAGCCTCCGCTCCGAGCCTCACTTCCCCATCTGGAAAATGGGCTGAGGGAGGGCTCCGTGGAGGGTGCGGGGAAGGTGTCACTGGCCTGCAGGAAGCCTCCCCTAAGGGCAGCCGGCCGGGACTCCCTCCTGAGCTGGAGGGTCGGGAGGGCGTGGGGAGGGCAGTGAAGGGACAAAGCCAGGCCGTGTGGAAGCAGCGCTGGGCCCTGGGCGACTCCTGGCAGGCGACCCTCTCCTAAGCTTCCCCGCTCCCGCCCCTGCCCCACTCACCGCTGGCACAGCCCCGGGGCCGGGCTCCCCGGGCAGGTGCCCTCTGGAGGTCAGCCTTGACTCGGGGCCGGCCCAGCCCCCGGTCCCTCTGCAGGGCGTCCAGGACGTCACTGACGGAGTTCACCAGGTGAGCCATGTGGCCTTGGCTCTCGGAGAGAAGCTGCGGAACACAGGGGTGAGCAGAGGGCCGGGCCCTGGCGTGCCTTCCCCAAGCTGGGCTCCCGGCTCGGTGGCAGCCCTCACCCTGCTCTGGCCCCGGGTCCCTGTCTAGTGTGGTCTGAGGGGTCAGCCGCACCATGGCGCAGCCTGTGCTCTGGGACGTCCAGGGCTCAGAGGGCTGGGTGCAGGTGGAGGGGCGGGGCGGCTCCAGAGGCACCTGCCTTCTCCGGGCCCTGTTCTCGGGCTGCCTCTGGGTGCTCAGCCCAGGGCAGGGGGAACTTGGGGTAGGGGGTGCCGTGCAGGCAGAGGCAGCCCCTGGTGCCAGGCAGACCTGGCTTCACCTCAGCTCGCCCACATGCCAGCTGCAGGACCGAGGGTGAGCGCCCTCACTGAGCCTCCCCTTCCACATCACCGCAATGCCCAAACTGCTGGGGGACCAGAGAAACCACCCAGGGAGCCCCTCAGTGTGGGGCCCGGTGGGGAACTGAGCCCACTGAACCCATGCGGCACCTCCCAGGCTACTAACGTGCCCACGGCTGCCTCTGCCGACCCCCAGGTGATGTTGCCTAGGTAGGGGTGATCTGCACAGGAGCAAGGATACCCCCATCCCACCCCTCATCCCGCCGTGAGCATCGCTTTGAGTCTCTGTGGCTTTCTGACATCCACGACCTCACCAGGCCCCCCACGGTGCTGCAAAGCGGGAGGTGAAGTTCTCATCTATTTGTTACAAATGGAGAAACTGAGGCTCAGAAGGAGAGGTCCCTAAGAGCAAACGACAGCGTGGGGACCAGGACTCAGGCCACTCTCCCAGGGCTGGCTGGCAGGAAGGGAGCCCAGGGCTGCAGTGAGACCAGGGCGGGGCAGGCCGTGGTCTGGCGTCTTGACTCCTCTCCCCTCCCCCACCCACTATGTGTGCGACCCTGGGAGGTGACAGCTCAGCTTCCTCCACAAACAGGGGATGAGACCTGCTTTCCAGGGCCAGGGCTTCAGGACAACCTGTGTTTGGGAGCCCAGACGGTGGCATCTGCTTTTACGACTCTCACCTGTCCCCGGGGCTGGACCTCAGGGGCAGCCCGGGCCTCTCTGCGGCCTTCAGGAGGCGGCAGGCCCACCTGGCGGGAGGGGCTCACGGACAGACTGCAGCCGGCAGGCAGGCAGCGGGCGGGGAGCCAGCCAGGTCTTCACACAGGAACCTGTCACTTGCCAGGTAATAGCCCATTCGTGGAAGGAAAATAGAAATACACGGCGCCCGCCGGCAGTTTACAAAATACAATTCCCGGCTGCTCCGGAGGCCGGGCCCTGCCAGGCTTTTTAGTCTCCCTGTCAGTTAGTTTCCCCTCTGCTGAGCAGGGATGCGGGGAGGGCTGCGGCCGGGCGGGCAGAGCGTCTGGGCCTCACTGCGGCGTCCCATCCACTGGCCCCACCGGGTGGGGCCACAGGCAGCCCCAGGAGGGACAGGGGTGGGGCGGCAGAGAACACTTGGTTAAGCCACGCAGGCACGGCCACCTTTCTGAGTCCAGGACACACTGGAGGACTCAGGCGCGGCCCCTCCCTCTTGCAAACGGGCAGGGAAGACCGCGCTCGACCCCGCGGAGGACTGACGTGGAGCGTGCACACACAGACACGCCGAGTTAGCGGGGAAGCCGGTCCCTGCTCGCCGAGCCGCACGGAGGCGTCAGGGGGACTTGGCAGGTCTTAGAGGCGGTGACATCAGGGTTCCCGTTCCTGGCGCTTCTCAGTGGCGTGGCCAAGCCCCGCAGGGCACTCCGCCACCCTGCGCCTCAGTCTGCCCCTCCGGAGAGTGGGGTGACAAAGGTACCCGCTCCGGCTGGCAGGGGCTTATCCGCACAGAGCCAGGCACCCGGCGGGGCCCTAGTTCCTACTGGGAAAGGGATTTTCAGTGGTGGCTCGCCCAGGTTTTCACAGTTTCTACCACAGCACTTAGGGGATGCTGATGCGCAGACGGTGGGTGTCCCCCACGTGCCAGACACTGGCCACCCCCGCGTCCCCTGGGCATGGGCTGTGGTGGCCCCACTTGCCAGGTGCGCAGCCCCAGCACAGATAGGAGCTGCCCGAGGTCCCAGGGCCGGGCAGGTGGGGCCCGGGCCGGATCCTGGCTCCGCCAACCCAAACCCTCAGGGCAGAGCTGCGTGGCTCAGGCCTGACGAGCAGCCACAGGGGACGGTGCAGAGTCACAGGGCACTTGCTGAGCTGCGGGTTCCCACACGCCCCCCTGGGGATCTGGGGGACTGGGGTGAGGCCCAGAAACCTGCCTTTCAGTAAGCACCTCTGGCGATTCCCACCCAGGTGCCCAAGGGCAAGGCTTTGGGAAACCGGGGCCTGGGCTGAGGGGCTGGGAGAGGAGATGGGGCCGCGCCGGCCGCCTCCGACCAAGAGTGAGACACGAGGTCTCTGGAATCACCCCAGTCTGCGGGAAATGAGTCAAACCAAGCATTTTTTGAGAAGTAAATATGTCAGGTGAGCCACCCCTCCTGGCCCCAGCTATCGGTCCGCAGGAGCAGCCGGGCCGCGCCGGTGCGGAGTGGGTGGTGGGACCCACGGCCCCGCCTCCTACACGCTGGGCCTTTGGGAGCCCGAGCTGGGGCCGGGGCCAAGCGATTTGGAGAGCGAGGTGGGGCCCGGGTGGGGCCCGGGTCACTCAAAGGTCAGGAGCTCTCCCCGCGCCCTGCCTGGGATGCCTGAGAAGGGGGTGCGGGGGAGGACTGGACACGCCCAGGAGGAGGAAGCCACCCTCCCGCCAGGCGCCCGGACAGGGTGATGAGGGCTGAGGCTGCCACAGCTGCAGCTTCAGAGGGCGGGAAAAGGCCTCACGAGCTGTCGGGTGAGCATACGCCGGGTGACCCCGCGTCCGGACAGGGTGGGCGGGAGGGGCAGGGCCGTGGCTTGGCGCCAGCCCTAAGGATCTGAGTCACAAGGCCGTGTGGCACAGGCTGGAGGCCGGGCAGGGGACCAGGGGGCTGGATTCCAGGCCTGACCTGGCCATGGCACCCAGGACAAATCACCGCCCCATCCCGGCATCAATGTTCTGTTCCGGAAAACGGTGGAGGCAGAGGGGGGAGACTCTGGTCCCAGACCCTGAGCAGGGGAGCGTCGTGCTGGCCCTTCAGGCTCGGTCTCGGCCAGGGTTGGAAACCTTCCACCCAGGCCCACCTGGGGCTGGCGGAACCTGGCGTGGCTAGGGGTCTGGGGGTCGGGCGGAGGTGGCTTGGGACAGGCCAGGGTCTGGCTGGGCTCCCTGGAAGGGCCTGTCCATCCCCGGAGAGCTGCGGGCGTCACATGGCAGTGAACTGGGAGGGGGACTGGGGACGGGTGCAGCTCCCTCTGGCCTAGAGCAGTGACCACATGACCCTGAGCAAGTCACAGTGTCCTGCCTCACCTGCATCGTGGAGCACCTGGGGACACCCCTCAAGCCCCAGATTTGACCCGACCCAGGGGAGAAGCTGGGTGTGAATCCTGGCTCCCCGTAGCTGTGTGGCTATGAGAAAGCGACTGCCCCTCTCTGAGCCTCGTGGGCTCGTCTGCAGATGGGGATAGCAATAGGCCATGGTCCGGGGCACCTGGGGGTGAGTGAGGCCGTGGACGTCAGGTGCCAGCACCGGGCCGCATGCAGTGGCAGCAGCCCCACACCCCCAGCAAGACCCGCCTACCTGGAGGAGGCGGCCCTGCTCACTCTGCAGGGCGCTCAGCCCCTGGCCCAGCGAGCTGTGTCCCTTCCGCAGCCCGGCGCACTCCGCCTGCAGCTCCGAGGCCCGGGCCAGCAGCTGGGGCAGCTGGTCGGCCAGCGTGTCCAGCAGCTCCTGCTCCTGCTCGCCCGGCCGCCGCGCCTGGGCCTGGTGCGCGGCCAGCGCCTGCAGCACGGAGGCCTGGGCGGCCTCCAGGCGGGCGAAGCCGTCGGCCGGGTCCGGGCAGCGCGGGTCGATGAGGATGCTGAGGCGCGAGCTGTCGGCCCTCTCCACGGTGACCAGGGCGCTGTTGGCGCCAGCCGGCCCGGTGCTGACGACCGGCGGGGGCGCCGTGCCCGGCGCGTGGGCGTGGTTCAGGAAGAGCACGGCACCGGTGACGGCCACGGCCAGCAGCACGGCCAGGGACAGCAGCACGGAGCACAGCACGTAGCCGCAGCTCGGCCGCTGTGGGCCGCCGGACACGCGGGCGCAGGAACGGAGAGAGAGGGCGGGCGTTAGACCCCGGCTCCCGCGTGGCCCAGTGAGCACTTGGGAGGCCCGGACAAGGCTCGGGGACCCCCTTCTTGGGGACCGGGGGAGGGTGTCACACAGAGACGGACACGAGAGACAGTCCCAGAGGGGAGACAGAGAGACGGACACACAGAGATACATCGAGAGACTCCGGGAGGAAGGTGGGGAGAGACAGAGGCCCAGAGGAGATGCCAGAGACAGAGACGGAGACCACAGAAAAGGGAAACTGAGGCAGGGAGATGGAAGAGAGCACCGTGCCTTTCGTCCGCTGCCCCTGCCCTGCCCGCATGCCCTGCGGAGAGCGCCCGTCACCTGCGGAGCCTCCCTGTCCCTCGGGGGCTGGAGGTAGAGACGCCCCCTCTGTGGCCAGATGGGCTCGGGTCCCTGTGCTGCCACCCCCACGGTGTGGCCTTGGGCGAGGGCCCGCACCTCTCTAAGCCTCGGTCTCCTCACCTGTAAAATGGGCTGGCGCCACCCCTGTCCCTACAGGCGGGTAACTGCGCAGACTCGGGAGGAGAAAGCCGGTGACAGCTCCGGCGCTGGAACAGCCGTGCTGTCAGGGGAACCAGTGCTCCAAGCTGGTTGTCACCGAAGGCCACCGACGGTCCCCCCACGTGGAGCGCCGCGCCCGCCCTCTGCTCGTGCTGGTCTCTGGTCCCCAGGGCACACGGGGGCTCTGAACACCCCCTCCCCGGCCCTCACGCCTCCTCTCTCTTCGCAGGGCAGCCCCCGGCGGAACAGACGCCGACCAGCGGAGACGGAGTGCTGCCCTCTAAGGCGGCCAGGCCCGGGGCGACAGCGACATCCCAACACCGGGCAGGCGCCATAAACACCGTGTCCGGGGCCTGGGCGGCACAGTGGGGGCCGGTGCTCTGGGGCCAGATCCACTGGACGGACCACTCACAGCCACTGAGCACCTCATACATGGGGAAACTGAGGCCCAGAGAGGGAAAGAGCCTTGCCCAGAGTCACACAGCAGAGTGTGGACAGGGCCCGGAGCCGACTGCCTTTCTCCCGGGGCCAGGCACTGCCGGCGACCGAGTTTCCTCAACTCTAAGACCCGCATCCTCCCCACGTCCTCAGCCTTCCGGACCTGAGGTGCTCCTGCGACTGAACGGCGTGTTGAGGCACCCGGACGCGTGCACGGCGCGGAGCTTGTGCGGCCAGCGTCAGCGGCCTTGCTGTCCGCGGCCGGTGTGCGCACGCCGTCTGGGGCGGCAAGTCTCCACCCAGAGTGTCTGCGGTGTGCCGTCGCTGCTGGGCCACCCGTCGTGTCCCCACGCGCTAATGGCTGACGTCGGAGGGCGCCTTGCACCCGTAACTGCCACCTCGCTGGCGTGGGGACACGCTAGGCAGTGACGCCTCTTCCGTCTCCGCATGCCCCCACTGAGGAAACGCAGGCGAGTCCTTTCCGGAAACCCACACTCTACAGGTAAGTCCCGAATGTCCCGCTCGGCGCCCGGGGAGGGCGGTGGGGGTGACGTGTGGGAGGGAAGCAGGCCCCGGGAAGGGATCTGTCCTGTTGTCACGATCAGGGAGACAGCTCCTGGCCTGTCCCCGTCATCGTGACGCTGCCGGCACTCATGCTCCACGCCTGCCCGGGCCCCTGGGGGACACACCCAGTCCAGGCTCCAGCCAGACCCTCCCGCCCTGGCCGTGCAGGGACGCACCCTCAGCTGGGAGCATCCGCTTCCCTGCTCCCCTCCCACGGCCTGATTCGCTTCCTCCAGGGCTCGGCTAGCTGTCACCTCCTCCAGGAAGCCCTCCTTGACTGTTTCTTCACCCCTGGCTTGGAGGGCCTCCTCCTCTCCTCCCTCACGAGGGTGCTTATCAAGACAGTCATCGCCTTTGACTTCATTCATTCACTCAGTCATTCCAACATCTATTCGCTAAAGCTCCCCACGAGCCAGGCTGTGGGCCAGTCCCGAGGAGGCATCAGTGTATCCCCCAGCCCTGCCTTGGGGGAGCTCCTGTCCCAAGGACTGGCGTTGCCAGCTTTGTCTGGGGCACTGACACCTCTGGGAATCTCATGAAAGCTGCAGACTCAATTTCTGGGGACTCCGGGGCTGGCGAGTCCCAGGCCCAGCAACCTTGCCCTGGACCGTGAGCCCTTCCGGGGCAGGGGCCCGCTCAGCGCCCGCACGGAGCAGCCCTGGGGCTGGATGGACAGGGGCAGACAGCTGGGGGTAGAGACGGAGGAGGAGGGGAAGGAGGCGGCGGCACAGGCAGAGGCGAAGGCATTCCTGGGACCGACAAAGCGCGGCCGGGCCGAGGCCCTGACCTCCCAGCTACGCCCAAGGCACAGCAGCCTCTGAGTCTGTGGCCGCCATGACAGTGTGGCTCAGAGCGAGGGCGACCCCAGGCCACGCCAAGGCCCGGCCACCTGCCGGCCGGCAGCTTGGACAGGTGAGCATGGCATGTCACCGCCACTCCTCGGGCCCCTACCACGGTCCACCACCGAAATCTCCAGACAAGCCCAGGCGGTGGGTGCTACAGCCAAACTCGTCGTGCGGCCAGGAAAGCTGGGTGCAGAGCACGGAGACCCCAGCCAGGGTCCCCGGCAAGCGGCAGAGCGGCCGCCCCCGGCCCCGGGCTGGGGTGTCAGGAACCGCAGCCACACCAGGCCTGCCTGCCCCAGCCTGCGGTTCCTTTCCTCTGCCTACAGCATGGCTGGGGCCTGACACGCAGAGCCCTGTGTCAGCAAGAAAGTCCCTGTCACGCCGCTCCGGAGCCCATCGGGAGGCACCTTGCCCCGAGCAGCCGCGTCAGACCGAGTGGCCACGTCAGACTGTGTGCGTCCAGGTCCCCAGCTGGCGGGGCCGGGCGGCTTGGCCGAGGCCAGCGTCTCCCCTGCGTCTCTGGCATCCCTGCCCGTGGGGCCCTCCTCCCACCGAGCCCCTCCCCGGTGGGAAGGCAGAGGGCACACGGGGAGGGGCTGGGGAAGCGGCAGGGGTCCCCGGGAGGCAGCGGGATAATGAAACGGGCGCTTGGCAGAGGAGAATCAGTCTGCAGAGATCACCTTAAAGACGAAGGACTGCTCGCTTTTATGGGCTGCCGTTTACGTGCCTCGCAAAGAAATCCACCGGACGACGAGGGGCCTCGGGCAGCGGGGAGCGGGTGTGCTCTGGGGCTGAGCCCACCAGCCAGAGGGCGTGCCCCAGGCTGCGGGAGGGAGGACGCACACAGCCCCCAGCTCCCCGGGCAAGCAAGGCGTCCCAGGCAGGAGGCACCGGAGCTCGGAGCCTGAGCTGGGGGGCCCGGGTTCGAGGCCCACTTCTGCCACCAACCACCTGTGCGAGCTTCCAGCTGGAGGGACGCGGCTTCCTCCCCCGCATGACCCCACCACCCCCCACGCCGGCCCAGGGTTGGTGGCTGCCTCGCGAGGCCTGGGCAAGGGGAGGACAAGGTGGGCTCCTGCCAGGGGGAGGCACGAAGCCCCCAGAGGTGGGGTGACCTCTGTCCAGGCTCCTCCCCTGGGGCCCCAGCCTCAGGCGGGCTGCAGGGGGAAGGGGGCTCAGCAGGGAGGGGTTCAACGCCAAGGTGCTGGCTGAGCCGTCCTGCCCAGCGATGCCCCCCTGCCCCGTGTTCTGAGGGAGCTGGCCGGCAGTGGTCCCCTGGGTCCCCTGAGCCCGCGCTCCCCGGATGAAAGCAGGAAGAAGAAAGTCTCCCCCCAGCGGGAGGCCAGGCGAGGTCAGGTCCAGATGTGAGCCCCTCCGGTGCCCTGCCCCGGCTCCTGGGAGCACCCCAGACAGAGGCAGGGCGGCTGCTCACCACGACAGAAACCCGCCGTGGGGCTTTGCGTCCGGAAAACCAAGGGTGGGTGACGTGCGCTCTGGGCCGGCAGCGGCCCCCTCAGAGCGCTGGGCCCTGTGGGTGGGGGGCTGGCAGGCTCTAAAGAGGGGGAGCCCAGGCGCTGCCCAGCCCAGACCCCCAGGGAGTCCCTCCCGTCTGCACCTGACTGGCTCCGCCTGGGCTGAGCCCCGAGCCCCCGGCCCTGGCAGAGGGAGGGTCCTGGCCCCGAGCCCCCGGCCCTGGCAGAGGGAGGGTCCTGGAGCCCCCTGGGCGTGAGGGGCTGGTGGCTCTGCTCACAATTCTGGGGTCCCAGAGACCTAGAAGAGGGGCTGCAGGCTAGTTCTATGAGATCTGAGCAAGAGCCCCTGTCCTGCTGCGGCCTTGTCAACGAAGCCCAGGCGAGGGCCACCTGGGCCTCAGGGAGGGCCTGGGGAAGAGGAGCTAAAGGGGTCCAGGGGGACAAGGGGGCCAGGGACGCTGCCAGCCCCCACCCTTCCTGGAACCCCCAAGCTCCCCCACTGCCCGGGCAGCGCTCAGCTCTGGGTGCATGGCGGGGTCCCCAGATGTTTCCTGTCTGCCCACCCTCCCCCGCCGCAGCTCCTGGCCTCCCAGATGGCCCGCCCAGGCCTCGGACCCAAACCTGAGCCCTCCCGAGTGTCCCACCCTGGGTGTGGCACCAGCCCCACCAGCTGGCCCCTGCAAGGCTGGCGCCTGGCTGGCTCCCCTCCCTAGCCCCACACCAGCCAGCCCCCGCTCTGTGTACTCCACCTCTCACGCCCTTCACCCTGTCCCCACCTCCAGCTCCTGCCCTGGGCAATGGCCCAGCACCTGCCTCTAGTCACCACAGCCACCTCCCGCTGGGCTCCCAGCCCTGCTCGCACCCCCCACGCGGCAGCCAGGCAGACCAGGACACTGTCCCACTTGGACTCCCAGGGGCACCCAGGCCTCAGGAGCGGGGCCCTCCCGACCCCTGCCAGGGCCAGGAGCACAGACTCAGCACACGCTGTTCCCCCCGCAGGCACCTGCCACCCCACTGACTCAGCTCCCACGGCACCTCTGCCCGGAGCATCGCCACCTGCCTCGGGCTGGGCCAGCAGCCTCCTCTGTCCTCCCGGCCCCTGTCCTCCCAGGTCACAGCCACGCCACCGGGCTGCACAGAGAGCTCAGTGGAGGAGGGGCTCGGGAACCCCAAGCCCAGCACAGGAACCTCAACCTGAGCCCCGGGAACGGGAAGAGAGAGGTGCTTTGCGATCCTTGCCTGCCTTGTGAGCTTGTGCCCCAGAGAGACTCTAAGCACCGTGAGGCACAGGCCGTACCCACCAGGCTGTATCTCTAACATGAAGTAGGGACTCCATAGTCCCTGAGTAAATTTAATGCAGCAGGGATTTAGGTTAGACATCAGGAAGAACTTCCCAAAGTTCTTCCTTTCTTTTTTTTTTCTTTCTGGAATGTTTGCAGACATTTTGAGAGCATCAAGAGATACTGCCCGGGATGGGTTGGAGGTGGACCTCCCTGTAGGGTGGCTTGGGGACTACTCAAGAATAAGGCTCCCCCCCCCAAATAGAAGTGGGTACAGTGTGACTTCCTGCCCCACACGCCAGGACTAGGAGAATATCTATGTCTAGACCCTCTCATCTGAGCAACTCCAAACTCCTGGCACGTGCCAGTCACCCTGCCCCAAGGGCGTGAGAGCCCCCTTCCCTCCCTGGGGAGCAGGGGTGCGCTAAGGAGTCCAAGTCTGCAGTTGTCCAGGCTCGCCCAGCAGATGCGCTGAGGCTGGACGGAGCTGGGAGAGAGCGGGGCCCAGGGGGTCCCCAGAAAGGGCAACAGGTGGACACAGGCCTTCACTGACGGCCGTGCTGTGGAACCACCCAGCCCAGCTGGCAGCCCTGCCCCGGCTGAGCGAGCCGAGCCACGAAGGGACGGCCAGCCCCTGTCCCCTTCATCTCCTGCAGAGGCCCCCACCCGCCGCCCAAACTCAGGTTTGGTCCCAGCCCCGGCTCTCTTAGCCTCAGTTTTCTCATCTGTCAGATGGGCTAATCATGCCTGCCGCCAGCCTCCCAGGGTGGTCGTGGCTACGAAACGAGCGACGTGGCACCAGCCCAGCTGGTGTCGGGAGTGTGGCGCTGGCTGTGTCCTCCTGGCGGAAGTGACCCATCAAAGGACCCTGGCCAGGCCCCTGCGGTAGGAGCTGGCTGTTGGGACGGCTTTCCCTGCTGCGTGGAGGGGACGTCAGGACACCGGCGGCCCGTGAAAGGGGACGAAGCTGCTTTGCGAGCCGTCCTTCTCACGGTGCACAGTGCTTTACGGTTTGCAAGACATACCAGCACTTCACTTGACCCTCATCACAGCCCTGTGAAGGAGGAGGAAGCAGGGATTGCTGTTCCCATTTTACAGATGGTAAAACCCAGGCCCAGAGAGGAGGAGTGACTCCCCGGAGTCTCACCGCACGCCCGTGGGCAAGCCGAGCCGAGGAGCCAGGGAGGAGAGAAGGCCGGCCCCAGGAGCCAGGCCGGGCCAGGCTCGCTCTCTCCTGACAGCAGGTGCAGGAAAGCCCTTGCCTCTTGTCTGAAGCTTCAAACCAGCCTGGAGCTGGCACAGGGGACCACGCGGCCACGTGCCGGGTCACCAAAGGGGAGGCAGGTGTTCGCTCTCGGCCCAGGCCCTAAAGCCACAGCCCTCAGATGCCTCCGGTAGCCAAGGGGCAGACAGCTGGGCTCCGGCCCCAGGGAGCAGCGAGGGAGGCTGGGCCTGGCCTGGGAGGCCTCGAAGCCAGTTTCAAACAGATTCCCCAGAAGCCGCCTCCCCGGAGCCGGAGCAGGCCTGCTGGCTGCTCTCCTGAGGCCCCTCCTGGCCGAAGCCGCCCGCAGTTCAATTCATCAAACACTCCTGGCTCCCAACCGGAGCGCCGGGAAGGGCTGGAGCCCGTGCCCAGGGGAGACCCAGAGCTGGGGTCCAGAAGAAGTGTGTGTCCCCAGGGATCTCCTGGTGCAGGAGGACTCAGGACAAGGGGACAAGGCAGTGAGATAAGGGCGGCTGAGAGGTATAGGCTGATACTGCTAGCACTTAGAGAGACAGCCACTAGGCATCCGGGAAGGCTTCCCGGAGGAGGTGGCAGCACTTGAGCTGGGTTGTGGAGTACACGGAGGGTCTCTCTGAATGAAGGTATGTGTGTGTACGTGCGTGTGCGTGCGCGCGCACACACGTGCACTGGGGAGCCTGGGAAGCCAACGAGATGGACAGCAAAGGTCTGGAAATGGGCAGCCTGGCTTGGGTGAAGACCTGACCCAAAAGGGGGACAAGACCACCCCTGGAAGGCAATGGAAGAGGAGTGAGACTAGACCAGGCTTTGCATCCTCCCTCTGCTGTTAACACGCTGTGTGACACAGGCATGTTCCTGAACCTCTCTGATCTCTGGTCTGTGACACTGGAATGAGCAACCCTGACTTGCTTCAGGAAGTGAGGTTGTGGAGTGAATGGCGAGGGCTTTGCAAACTGCAGAGGGCTGGGCCCCTGTGCCGTGCCAATGTCACTCGGGCAGGAATGAGCAGGTTGCAGCTCCTGAGAGTGAGGGGCGGCCCAGGCCCGCCCCTGCCACCCCCTCCTGCAGCTGCAAACTCAAACTGTTCCTTCCCTAATGACATCTGTCTGGGAGAAATTTAAAATTTAAAACGCGCAGCCCCATTATTTCTTCTCCTCGGTGAGCGGGCCTCGCTCCAGCCTGCCTGCCCCGGTCCCTTGGCAGCCCAGCCCCGGGCAGCCCCCGGGCAGCCCCTCCGCCAGGGCTGCGACTCCAGCCCCGCGCTGGCCAGCCGGGCTCTGTCCTCACCCCTTCCAGCGCACAGCCCTGGGCACCCTCCCCGCCCCACCTCCCTGCCCCTGAAGGGGGGGGAGGAATGAGCCAGCCCTGGGGCGCACAGACACAGGCGGGTTCAAGTCCCCTGGAGCCCATGGCCTCAGGCAGGAGCGGCCCTCTCAGAGTCTTGCTCTCCTTGTCTCTCAGTCAGAGAATCCCAGCCCAGCGTTCTGACAGCAGATGAGTATTTATTGATCCCCTACTGAATGCAGGGCCCTGGCTAAAGGGGGAGGATGCAGAGGAGACCCAGGGGCTCAGGTCCCGGTCCCAAAGCTCAGGTTAGTGTGCCAAGTGCCTGGCACAGGGTGGCGCCCAGAGCGGGACTTGCAAGTGGCCGGATGCCCATTTGCACAGGTGAGGAAATGGAGACCCAGCGGGGGAGCGACCTGTCTGTAGTCACACAGCGAACTACAGGTCCCCGCTTGCTCTGCACCCGCGCGCACCGGGGGCTCTGCCGGCGACGCGTGCGGCTCCTGCAGGGGTGCCGCCCCCATCGAACCCCGAGTTGGAGCCGCGCTGGGGCAAGAGGAGAGGAGGGTGCCCGCCCGCCCCCCGCCTCGGTGCGCTCCAAACTCCAGCCCCCGCACTGGGTGCCCACCCTGCCGGGCCGAGAGGCCACCGCCTCGCCAGCCGCCCGAGCCCCCGTCCCCGCGCCCGCGCGTACCTGCGGCTTGTCGCGCGGCCGGTCCTCAAGTTGGGAAGCGCCGCCCATGGTCTTCCAGCGGTCGTTGACCATCTTCCGGCAGGACCGGCGGGGGCGCCGGGCGAGGCGCGCCGCTGCGGAGCGCAAAGGCGGCGAGGTGGGCGCGGGCGCGGGGCGCGCTCTGCCCGCCGGTCCCCGCCTCGGTGCGAGCGGGCGGGCGGGCGTGTGCGGTGTGTGCGCGCCGGGGTGTGCGGGCGTGTGCGGGCGAGAGCGGAGAGGGCAGGAGCGGGAGCGCGAGAGCCGCCTGCCCGCCGCCCGCCGCGCGCCGCCCGGCTCCCGCTCCCGCGCTCCCCGCGCGCTCCGCTCCCTCCTCCCCTATGCCTCCTCCCTCCTCAATCTCCGCGTCTTTTTTGTCTCGGACTCTCTTTGCCTTTTATTGCTCCCCTCGGCCTCCCCCGACACACACACGCACGCACACACGCACACGCCCGCGGACTTCCATAGCTAACGCCACCTCCAGAGAGGCCAAGCTAAAGGAGGCAGACCCGGCCCAACACTGCGGGCCGGCCGGAGGGCAGCCAACAGCCGCCCGCACCCGGAGGGGCCGGGAGCCCCCGGTGGCGCCTCTGCACAAACTTCCTCCCCGGCGCGACTCACACCAACTCACCGTGCGCGGGGGGCGCGGCGCCGGGCGGGCAGCGTGGGCGCCCCCACCGGGCCGTCGGGCGTCTCCGGGGAGCGGCGCCGCGCTCCTCTCGGCTCCCTCCCGGCTCGGGGCACTGGGCTTGCCCCTGACCCAGGCCGGGCAGGGGTGGGGGCCGGCGGGGGTGCGCCTGCGATCTCCGAGATCTCCGACCAGAGCGCCCAGCCCGGCGTCTCCAACCCCTGGGACCTCCCCGCTCTGGACCCCGACCCGCGAGCCTGGTCCTGGGGGCTCCCCGGCCCTGGTGCGCAGACACGTGCCCGGCGCTCGCGGGCAGAGAGCCGCCCCGACGCCGGCCTGCTCGGGCGGCCCGCGGGCGGAATGGGGTCCCCGCCGCCGCGACAGCCGCCGGCGCCGCGGTCGCGAGGACGAGCCGCTCCGCGCTCAGCCCGCGCTCCCGGCCGGTCGCCCGCGCTCCCCAGGCGCGCCCCGCGCAGGCTCAGCCCCCGCCGCCTCCTCCGCCGCGTGAGAGGAGGGCTTTGTGCCGGAGGGGGCTTCTTAGTCGCCCCTTCCCACCGGCAGCACTTTTTAAAGCATTTAATCCGCGCGGAGCGGCCTTCGGAGGTAATTGACAAAGTCCTTAATCTGCGCCGGAACGAGCTGCTATTGTGGCTTCCGACCGAGGCGCCCACGCGGCCCGCGGAGCTCCCCGCTGGCCCAACCCCTCCCTGCCCGCCGGCCCCTCCGCTTTCTGCGGCCCCACCTTCTCCTGGTACCCCAGCTCCAGATAGACACCCCCGCTCTCCGCCCTCGCTTCTCCCCAAAGCTGTTTTCCGGCTCCTGGGGCGCCTTGGCCCGCCGCGCTGTTCCCTGGCACCGTCTCCGTCTCTCCCCACTGGCTGCCGTCTGTCGCCCCATCCTCGTCCCTCTCCCGATCCCTCTGCGCGACCGGACGGGCGGGGCAGGCCGGCTGGGGGTGGGGGCCGTGTCCAGCCTGGGCAGGGGCGCTCCTTGGGCTCCAGAGCTGGAGCAGGGGACCCGTGGCCCCATGCCAGCTGAGGAGACCGTCACCCACCAGAAGCTGAGTTCACAACCCGCCAGTTGTTTACAGCCTCTTTTTCCTTCCAGGATCTCGGGGTCACCTGCAGCCCCACCCCAACTGATGGTGCAGTAGTGGAGGGAGTCAGGAGACTGGGGTCCGGCTCTGGCCCCTGGCCCTTCCTGGATGGCACCTGTCCCCCTGGACAGGAGGGCTTCTTTTCTATTGATTAGGGGTGCCAGCAGGTGACCCAGAGAGCCCTGGCTGTGTGGCCTAGGGCAAGCAACTGCACCTCTCTGAGCCCCGTGTATACCAAAGGGTTAAGAGCACCCTCCTGAGAAGGGCTCTGGGGGACAGTGCATTAAAGCTCTGAGCAGGGCACAGGCTCAAACTTTCCTGCTGTGGCCTTGGGCACACTGGCTGTCCTCCCCGAGCCTCAGTTTCCTCATGAACAAGGACTCTCCCCTTGGTGGGAGTTGTGAGGTTTGCAGGCCCCTGCACCGTACCTGGCAGGAAGCAGGCACGTGGTGGGGACGGTAAGCCTTGACCCTACAGTCTGGGGAGAAGATGTAAACTGCAAACGCGTCCGGGCACAGAGGAAGCTCGCCCGTGCACAGGGAGGCCCTGGACTGAGACTCGGAGGGAGGGGTGCCAGGGGCCGACGGAGGGGGTCCTGGGTGTGTGCTCCCGGTGGTTGGGGGAGGCACCCTGAGAAGGAGAGATGTGCCCTGGACCTCGAAGGCACATGAGGGCAGTGACCACATGGCTGGGTGCGGGGGGGAAAGGCTGGAATCCAGGGCTGGGGCTGCAGAAGCAATGGCAGAGAGCCGGGTGACCACAGTGTTCCCAGGCAGGTGCAAACAGAGAACACTTTGGGCGACCTGTTCCCAGCCTGCAGAAGGGCGATTAGACAGGTGAGTGGGGGCCACCTAGCGGCTCCTCCTGGCAGTGTTTGCTGTGGAGTCACCTCACCTGCTCAGCAACTGGTTCCCCAATTTCCGGCCAGTGTGTGTCTTGGGGGGCGGGCCTCCCCTATCACCCCCTCTGTGATGATGCCTCTGCTCGCACCCCAGAAGAAGCGCCAGCCATGATGCAGGTGTGGCACGAGCCCACAGGCGTCTTCTCCACACTTCGCATTCCAGGCTCACCGAGGGCATTGTCCTGGGAGAGGAGATGGCCGCCACCTGTTCATTGGCCCTTCAGGGTGTGGCCCCAACCCCCACCCTGACATCTGTGCAGGAGAAAGAGCAGCTGACCCTGCAGAGCAGGCAGTCCCCCCCACCCTCTGATTTCCCTTTGACAAGGCTGATGGTCACAGAGCACCAGGGCAGGACCAGCCTAAGACTGGGCATTCCATGTCAGGGACCAGCTAGGACACAGGGGCGCCAGAACCCAGGACCTGCAGGCTGCAGGGGATTTGACCCCAGGCCACCTGGTGCCCGTGTTCACTCCCTGTGTATCCACCCACCCTCCTCTCTGGCTCGCCAATTCTGCATGTTCCCACCTTGCCTTTCCGAAGCCACCTTGTATTATGGCCCCACTGACGGACATCCCCTGCCTGGGATCGCACCAGGACACACTAGTCACAGGCATCAGCTCGGTGCCCACCGTGGTCCACTGGGGGCATGGCTGCCGCATCCAGGTGAAGGGCAGCTCGCTTAGCGGGGAGCAGGTGTAAGGCGGGCCGCAGGGCACGCCAACACCGGAGGCTCGGAAAGGAAGACAGCCAATGAGAGGACAAGGAGCAGCGGGGATGGAGGGTGACATCATGCAGGGTGCCAGTCCCTGCCCAGCTGCTCAGCCCTGTGCCGGGCACCGAACATCCTCCCAGCCACCTTAATACATGGGAGCTATGGTGCCCATTTTATGGATGAAGAAACTGATTCAGAAGGGTAAGTTACACAGCTTGGGTAATCGTGCTATTAGTAAAAGGATATGATATACAGTGAATTGCCATTTCCCATGTGCTGGATACGGTCCATCAGCAGTAGCATCTAATTTCATGTAATCCTCACCCAAGACCTGTGGGTGTTTTTAATATCTCCATTTTGTAGCTGAGGCGACTGGAACTCAGAGAAGTTAAGGAAGTTGACCAAGATCACACAGCACTCGGTGGGGCTGGAGTTGGAGCCCTGGGCAGTGCCCTGCCGGAGCCCGTCGCTCTTTCTCAAATGCCTCGGCCCTGTGGGTCTGCCGGAGCCGGGCCTGAGACGCCCGGCGAGCACTGCTGAGCTGGCAGCAGAGGCTCAGTGGACGTGGGCAGAATACCAAACGTGCTCGCTGCTCGGGGCCCGCGGGCCGGGCCGGCCGGAGGGTCGGGACCTCTGGCCCTTGTCCCCCCCACCTCTGCCCCGCACTGCCAAGGGCACTCAGCTCTCACCATAAAGCTGTTTCAACTTAACTCTGACAGTCACATTTATCATTAAAAATAAATGTGTCTTGGCTTCCCGTGGCATGGAAAGCCACCGTGCGGTGATTCAATGGGCTTGTCACCCCTCACGGTTGGGCGTGCGGAGCTGAACAACTGGATGGTCTCCAACGCCGGCTCCTCATTTTCTGCAGCTGGAGCCAGAAACGTACAGTGGGCTGACATTTAATTTAGAATCCAACATACCTTGACACAAACCCATAATACAAAGGCGGGGGCGGGGGGGGGAGTGAGGGGGGGTCCAAGTGACAGGGTGGATTTCTTTCTTTCTTTCCTTTTGCTAAATTTTGCTTTGTCAACACCGAGTGGAGATGACAGACGAGAGGCCGTGATCAAAGGCAAGGATTAGCACGGAGGGAACGCGTGTGCGAGTGCGTGGGCATTCGCGTGCACGCGCAGGGCCGGGGCGGTGGGTCCCTGCCCGAGCCCAGGGACAGACGCCATGTGTGGCATCTTGCAGTGCGTCCGTCAGATGTAACCGGAGAACCCCGCACTGAGTCCCGGCTGTCGAGGCTGAGTCCGGAGCCCAGGAGCAGGGCGATGTGGGCACTGCAGGCCAGCAGGCTGCCTGCCTGTTCCGTCTGTGCGTCCCAAGCCCTTCCCACTGGTCGGCACCCCAACAGTCGGTGCCCCGTAAATGCAGAGCAGGAAGGGGAAATGCTATTTTAAATGGGATTCTTCTTAGGGAGAAAACTGGCTTTTCCCAGCAGAGTGTCCTAGATGGCCGTGAAAATTGGAGGCTCAAGGCTGAGCAGGGAGGGGAGGGCGGAAGGCAAGAGACACAGGCAGGGAGCCCGGCAGGAGCCCACAGCTGGCGCAGGTTGGGGGAGGAAGCGCGGGCCAGGGAAGGAGTAGGAGGGGCCGGATCCAGGCAGGCGGTCTGGGAGAAGGCTGGGCCGGGAGAACCATAGCTCAGGTAAGTTTGCGGGCACAGGGGATGTTTGCTCCTGCATTCGAAGTGATCTGCAGTGTTGTGCTGCAGGGTCCCGTCCCTCCGCCACCCCAACCCAAACTCGGTACAGAGTCTGCCCTGGGCAATGGCCTTGAGTTCCTGACGGTTTGGGGAAATGAAAAGGGCAGGCCCTGCCC